CCTTGTAAGAGCCCGTTCAGGATCTCATAGAAAAACCTCCCATAACCTTCCCGGGCTCTGACGGGAAGAGTTAAGCTAAGCATTAAACCGTTACTTTCATGGGGCCGGGGTCATGACTTGTGCTCTTCCTCCAGTTCCACTTGAATTCCACTACGGCTGCAAATCCCGGGTCTAAGTCCTAAGCCCCGTACATAAACTTGACCCCTACACCCTAAACCGACGATGAGTTTCAAGACATGTCCAAAACTCGCCCTGTCTCAAAATCTAGATAAGCATTGATAGCAATTCCACAAACACACACACACACACACCTACAAAGACCCACAATGATGTCCGCAATTGTGAAAATTACATCTGTAATATACATCATAATCATAAACCGACCCTAGACCCTAAACCCGGACGGAACCCTAAACAAAATCCTAAACCCTAAACCGACCCTAAACCCTAAACCCTGACGGCCCTCCCGCGCACCATGTGATTCCGAAGGCCAAGTCACTGGAAGACTACGCCCGCAGCAAAAATATGGCCGGGGCAGGCCTGGTCTGGGTTGCCGTTGCGGTTTGAGGTTTAGGGTTCAAGGTTTAGAGTTCAGGGTTTAGGGTCTAGAGGTTAGGGGTCAAGGTTTTCGGGCTTCAAGGCTTTCGGGCTGCCGGGTTTCAAGGTTCAGGGCTGTGGGGTCTTTAGAGCTGGGCCTTTGAGTCTAAGGGTTTAGGGCTTCAGGGTTCTAGGGTTTCCGGATTTAGGGGTTTGGGAATCTTCTTGCAACTACCCATGAAACTTCAAACTTGAAGGCTAAACCCTGAACCCTGAATCAGAACTCCTGAACCCTAAGCCCTAAACCCTCAACCGGCTTGAACCGTAAGCCCTGAACCCTAAACCCCTCAACCCCTAAAGCCCTAAGCCTGAAAGCCTTAAGCTAAAAGAAACCTAGGATGCCCAGTAGTACGCTTATTCCCTTTTTGTAGTCCTAGGTTCCTTATAAAGTTACCCAATACCAAAAAGAGAGGCCTTTTTATTCTTAGGGTACTGGGTATCCTAGAAACTAAACCCTTCGGAACCTTCGAGCACCCCGGTGAGGTTTGACTGTTCATCGTATGGATGACGACTGGTGGGCCTCGCCCTGAGATCTCATGGGGCTGATTTTAAAGCTTTGGCAGTAGAAGGGCTTAGGGTTCACGGGTTTAGAGGGGTTTAGGGGTTTCGGGGTTCAGGAGTTTAGAGGGGTTTAGAGGGGTTTGGAGGGGTTTAGAGGGGTTTACGGGTTTAGAGGGATCAGAGGTTTAGGGGTTTAGATGTGTTTAGGGGTTTAGATGGGTTGGGGTCTAGAGACTTGAGCTTCTTTAGCCGGCCTGTTCAAGAACTACGCGATTTCGCGAGCATAGGGTAGCTCAGGGCCCTTGAAGTGTTCGCTCAACACATGAGTTTCCTGACTTTCCGGAACCAACGTACAGGCCCTAGATACTGAGATACCCCTAAACCCCAAGCCCTAAACCAATAAACCGCAAGCCCAAAACCTGAAATATGCAAGTATTATGCCCCCTTCTACCCCACAGCGCCGTTCTAGTCATTTCGGCCCTTCCTACACTCCCAGCCACCCTCTAATATACCCCAAGAAACTACTATCAAGGGCCATAAGGGCTCTATTCAAGGGCCCTCGGAGGTCCATTCTACCTGACGTTCAAAGCCTCTGTCCTCCTATCTCCCTGAGGCGAAGACGAGAACGACCAGTCGGTTCTTCCTCCGCAAGCAGAAGAACGACTTCTACGAGGGCGTGTGCAAGAGACAGGAGCTTGAAGAGTTTATCCTGGGTAGTATTAGGGAGACCCCTTAAAGGGGACTCTTCTTAACCCTGCTTCTGGCTCTCTTAAAGGGACCTTATTGAGAGGCTCTAGGTTTAGGATTCAGAGTTAAGGGTTAGGGTTTATAGGGTTTAGAGCTTGTGGAGTTTTAGGGCTTCCAGGGTTTAGGGTTTCTATGGTTTGGATTTCTAGGATTTAGGGCTTATTGGGTTTAGAGTTTAGAGCTTGGAAGTTAGGCTTAGAGTTTAGGGTCTGGAGGTTGGGTTTGGAGATGTTTGGAGATTAGGTTGGATGGGGTTTAGGGTTGGGGTGTAGGATTCAGGGTTTCGAGATGTTTGGAGTCTCGGGGTTCAGGATTAGGGTTTCGAGTTCAGGGTTTGTAGGGTTTAGTTTTAAGTTAGAGCTTATGGTTTACAGTCTACGACTGCTTTACTGATAACTTTACTTGCAGTACGACAATGCCACTTGCCGCTGCGGCGACGACGACGACGACTGTTATTGCTAGCACTGCTACTGCCGCTACTCTACTGCTAGCGCTGCTGATACCTCTGCCACTACGGCCACGCCCACTACCGCGTTCACGTTTACGACTACGACGACGATGAGATGACTACAAGACTAGGGGACCCTAATATGGTACCCCAAATAGTAGGATCCTTATTACAAGGACCTCAAAAAAAGGTACCCCGAATTTTCGGAAACTCCCATATGACTGACTACCTAGTACCTGCCACCTGCCAACTCACACCTGGCGACGACGCCGGCTGCGGCCACCCACCCTAAACCCAAAACCCTATACCCTCAACTCTAGACCCTAAACCCTCAACTCCAGACCCTAAACCCTAAACTCTAGACCCTAAACCCGAAACTCTAGACCCTAAACCCTAAACTCTAGACCCGAAACCCAAAGCCTCAGAAAGGCACTTCTTGAACCCGGCGCCTAAAAGCCTTTACGGAACAAGCCCCGGAAGCTACTGGAGTTTAGGTTTAAAGGTCTGATGTTTGGGATTCAGGGTTTGGAGTTCGGGTGTAGGGTTTGGGGTTTAAGGTTTAGGGCTCGGCTTCCTAGCTCCGAAACCCCGAATAACAGAGGGTTTTGGGACAGGTTTGGGGGTTGTGCTTTCCGAGAGTTTGGGGTTATTTCTGCTCACTGTTAAAGAACATTCTTTGGCGATTATTGTTAAAGAACATTCTTTGGCGATTATTGTGCTCCCTGAGAAGCCTAAACCCCAAAATCTGTGGGGGTGGGGGGGAAGCCTCCGAAGAGTGGACGCACAGGAGCACGATCGCGAGGCGCGCAAGCTGATCGCCGCCGACCAGGCCGTCTTGGAGGCACAGGGAGAGCTTTTGCTTCTAATGGGGTTTAGGGCCCAGTGTTTGGGGCGTACGGTTCAGGGCTCTGGGTTTAGGATTGAAAAATTGCAGAGGATGCAGAGAAGCGGGCATGAGGGCATAGAGCAGGGTTTTAGTAGTTGGCTCAGGGGTTTCAGGATAAACCCTAAACCCTAAACCCAAACTCTAAACTCTATGCCCTAAACCGGTTTCAGGGGTTCAGGATTTTGGGTTTTCGGCTGTAAGGTTGCGAGCTGAAAGGTTTCGGGTGCAGGGACGTTGAGCCGAATCCATAAGCCGCATTAGGGTTTAGGGTTCAGGGGTTGAGAGGGTTTGGGGCGAGACCCCCCCAAACACCCTCTAATATACCCCATGGACCCACAAGTAACCGCCATCAGGACTCTATTAAAGGGCCCTTGCGGGGTCTGGGGTCCCTACTAATTGCAGTCATACAAATTAAGAACATCTTGCACAACCCTACCGAAATTCTTGAGGCCTCTATACTAGTTCGTTGCAGCCTGGTCGGTTGTGTGGTTCCGGTAAGCATGCTAGCAAAGACAAGAGCAGCGGGTCCCACAACAAGCTGGGGGAGGCTGCTTGCCTACAGACTTACATCGGCATATGCGATGCTCGCGTTGTTCCTTGGATCAGTGCCTAGCCACCTTCGTGAACTCAAAATAAAGTAGGATCCCAATCTGTAAACCTATACCCCAAAACCCTCCACCCAAATCCCAGCCACAGAGCTACTCATGTATGCCTAAAACCAGATACTACAGCGTTAAATCCACAAACCAAAGCCACCTGACACTCCAAACTTGAGCGCTTAGCAGGCTCATGAGATGGGAATCGACTGGCATCGCGCTTACCTTTTGGGTTTAGGGTTCCCCGGCGTCTAGGGTGCAGCAAAAGTGGCCGCTTCGTTTCCGACATGCATCCGTTTTGGTGCCTGAGCTTCGGTCCCTCAGGTTTGCATTTCTGGACATTGATGAGTGCATCTATGTGTCGCGCACTCGATGCTTGCGTGCTTTTGGCATACCCGCTTATGTAGGCTTTGCCTGCCTGCAGCATCTCGTGTAGAGCACAAAAAACCGTGAAAACCTAAATAATCCAAAACCCCGCGGCTTATCCTTTAAGCCCCTAACTCTGAACCCTCAACTTCTGCAGACCCTATAGGGCGTCATCCCGATAGTCGGCTTCTCATTCGACCTCGACATGAGCTTGTCAGGGGCACATGTTTTGCGAGCACAATAAACCCAATAAGCGCCCTTCTACCTGGCGTGTAATGTAGAAGTCTGAACAATTAGAAGCACTACTCCTTATCTGAGGGTTCCTTCTCATAGTCATAGTGCGACATACCGCAAACCCTGCCACTGGCCGCGGTTTAGTCTACGAGCCTCAGCACCGTCGTGTTTTTTTGCGAAGCAATCGTTTACAGTTGCACTAGAGTTCTCTTCCGTGTTATACTTATGCTGTTTACTTACTTGTTGCTTTAGTTTAGTTCTTTCGAGGTTTCTGTTATCGTAGAGTTACCCTTGGAAAGTTTACGGCAACAGAGAAACCTAACTTGCGCTGTGGGGTCCAACCCTTCGCTCGACGGGGTTTGGGGGGCTAGTTTAGGATTGGGCAAAACCCGAAACCCCTAAACCCTACATCGTTGCATGAGTTTGGCATTCAGGCCTCCATCATGGATGGTGCCGCACCGTCGGGCTCGAGAAACTGAAACTGTCCTTATTGAAGTATGGTCTCGCGACGGGTGTTTCGGGATGCCTTGTTGGATTTGAAGTTGTTACGGCTTGTGCTTTCAGACTGTAGGATTTTAGACTTTAAGGTTCCCGGATTCGGGTTCAGGGATCCGGAGTTGAAGCCATGATGAAGGCCCTGCCATCAGCTCTGCTTGCTGTCACGCTACAGTGCTCTGCGAGTGGCGCGCCGCCAGCGGAGGAGTGCCAAGATGCAGAGAGGGCAGGATTCTCCATGCTGCAAGCACATCTCGTCTCCAGGGACCGACACCTGGCCTCTGGTCCATATCACTGGGCCTCAGGACTCATAGGAGGCCAAAAGGGGTGCTTAGCCTATGGGGGTTTAGTAGGGGTTAGGGTTCCCATAATAGGGTTCATATTAAGGAATCCCTACCCCAAGAATCTTAAACCCCCCTTTTGACCTCCCATCAAGGACGTGGGAACTTTCCCAACTATACAGTCTCTACAACTTCGGGTCCTTTCAACTTGTCGGACTCGCTGGCCTGGGAGTGGCATCACCCATTGGGAAGGTTCGCAACGCTGACGTACGGCACGGCTATCGATGATGACAGCAATATCTATCTTTCAGCTGCCGACGGCGTCAGAAAGTTTGATTCAAGTGGCACGCTGCTATGGGAATTTCCAACGCTCCCTAAGGAGGTGATGAATGCCCCGTTCCTCTACGATGGAATGGTGTATGCCAGTGACACCCACGGATTTGTATTTGCTTCTCGGAGCGCTCTTCAACATAGATTTTCGGGAGCACTCCCCAATTTATATCGGCATCACCAAAATCACCACAAGTAGTATTACACCCTTATAGTCCCTATAATATGGTCCTATTGGTCCTATTCTAGTATTATGTACCTTTACTTTCAACCCCACCAATGTATATGATTCTAGTATAATAGACCCTTACATTGCTGCAAGCCCTGAAGCCCCAGATCCAAAATCGCAGCACCTCGAATCCCAGCTTTTGGTCCTCCAACGATCGCCTTAGACTCTGAACGGTTCAGGGTTTGGGGACTCTTTGGTTTGGGCTTAGGGTTTATATAGGGTCTTGCCCGCGGCCATATAATTAATGAACCGCAAGCCTGTACTCTAAGTTTAGAAACCTGTGGTCGATGGAGCTCAATGAACAAGACGTCTCCTAGCTCGGGTCTAAGCAAACACATAAGCCCGAATAATTAAAAATGCGATTCTTCAGGCCCCTAATTACATTTTTGCACCCAGGCGTTGGACATGCAGACAGGCAAGCAAGTATGGAACACGCAGATCGCGGACAAGACTGGTCAAGACAATGGTTTCAACATGGTCCACGACGGAATCTTAGCCCTGAGGCCTTAACCCTTAACCTTACAGATACTTGTTGTGGGGCCTGGGCATTGAGAGTTTCTGCATATTGAACTTGAAGTGAGTGAGGCTTTCCTGTTTCTGCAGATGAGGTTTCAAATTGTCAGCTGCAACGTTTAAAGACCGTAGGCTGAAACCTCAACGGACGGGACATGCGTAGACTACTTTGCAGATAAACCTCCTGGTGACCCAGGAGTTGCACTGGCAGCATGCGATTGGCGTCTCCCTACCAACTTTGATTCGGGCGCGAACCAGAAAGTCAAGGGCTTGAATGCCAGCACCGGAGAAGAGCTGCTTGTTCGTGCCTGATGTCATCATCCTTTGTTCACCGGTAGTGCGGCATGCAGTTTTTTCATATGTCTGTCCATTTGTTAGGCCCTTTGCATGCATTGATGCGTGGTTGATTATGTATGCTGGTGTGTGTATATATATATATATAATATACAGACATTCACTTGTTTATTGCTTTGTTTCTGTATTCATATGTATGCGTATGCATCCGTATGCAGCTACATATGCACACAGGTATGCATGCATGTATGTATGTTAGTCTGTGTGCACGTCTGTATGCATGCACGCATGCATGGATGTACGTATGTATGGACGTGATTAGTCATGTAGTGTAATGTAGTGTATTTAGTGTGATGCAGTGTGCAGCAATGTAGTGTCATGTAGAGTAATGTAGTGTAGTGTAAAGTAAATGTAATGTAATCTATGGGCATTTATGCACGTCCGCCTGTGTCTAGGTATGTATATATGTTTGTGAGTTTGTCTGTTTGTCTGTCTGTCAAATTATTTGCTTGCTCGGGTTTTTGCGTGTGTTGACTGGCTCGTTTTGTGTTGCAGCATGCATAGGTTTTAGTTTAGTCTTTTGCATTTGCTACTTGGTCGTTCCTGTTGTTTCTGTTGGGGTCCTTCATAGTCTGTCCGGCGATTTAGGCTGTGGAGCTTTGAGCCAGACGTGCCGGTCTGGAACTTTTTGCCACTCCTTGTGGAAGGCTCGGTAGTCATGGTCTTTGGGGTTTAGAGTTTGGGGTTTTGGTTCAGGGTTTGAGTTTTAGGGTTTAGTAGGGTTTAGGGGAGTTTAGGTTTCATGTTCACGGTTCACGGCTTTGGCTTCAACTCAGCTACTTTAAACCGCTCTCGTAGTGGGGATGCTGGTGTTTCTTATGTTCATTTCTATGGTTTGGTTCCTCTTGAACCCTAAACCCTGAACCCTAATCCCAGAACCCTGAACCGAACCGTATTAATATTTTCAAAACAAGCCGAAACCTCAGCCCAGACCAAAAGTTGTTGCAACTGGTTGATATAGGGGCCTGCATAGTCATAGTTAGAGTAGGGGCTTGGTGGTATATTATACTATACCTATAACATAACAAGGGTAGTAATTCAGGCCCCTATAGTATGGTATTCACAGACTTTGGCGCAGAAGCCACGGAGCCACCTTCCCAATCAAATCTCAGCAGCAATGTTTCTCGGTGTAGCGTCAAGAAGTGGTGGAGAGAACAGAGATCGGAAGCTGTAGCAACAAGAAACACCCGCAGTCCTTTCGCATTTTTACAACTTCCATCCCAACACCTTCTTGCAGGCCCACATAGTGGCTTAAACAAATGCAGGGGTTCTTGATTACCTTCACCGCTGAACCACGCTGGATTACGAAATCCCCGCAACAGAAGTAGAACCAGAGCCCCCAAAATCCCGGAGCGCAGTGACCATATAACTATACATACGAGTTCATACTCTAACATGCCCCAAAACCCTGCGGTGCTCATGGAGGCCCCTATATCTAGCTTGCTGCGAAGGTGGCTCCTTCGTCTTTCAGGACATGACGGGCAAAGCTTATCGCGTGCTCTTGAAGACTGGGGAGCTGGTCTGGAAGGACGGGATTCGGGTAGAGCTCTTCTAGGTTGGATTTTGGGACATTTTTTATTTTCCGTATTTGGGTTTATAAGGGACCCTATACATAAATATTTTTCAGGGTGTTTAAAAGCCAACCCAGTCTTGGGGTTTAGGTTTTGGGGATTAGGGTTTAGGGCTTGGGGGTTTAGGGATCACTTAGGGGTACTTAGAAATACTTTTTAGTTTTTGGTTATTATAACCCCTAAGAAACGGCTAAAATCATAATTTTTGCTAGGGTTCTAAGTTCAGTATAGATTAGGGTAGAGGGCTTGGGGTTTAGGGTTTAGGGCTTGGGGGTTTAGGGATTACTTGTGGCTTTTGGTTAAAGGGTTCCAGAAGAGCTCTTTAAAAGGGTCTTGTGAGGCTTCTCCACGCATTCTTCGGTGAAAGGATCTTGTAGTGGGTCGGGATTCCCAGCCCGATCCCCTCCAAACCCGAGAAGGATCCCTGAACCCAACCCTTAAACCCTACCTTAACCCTGAAGAACCTACCTTTTTTAGGGTTCCCTATTATGATTTCCTTATATAAGTCCTGAAAAAGGTAGGTTCGTCAGGGTTAAGGTAGAACCTGAAGTCCTAAGGCCTAAACCCTAAACTCTGAGCCCTCAAGCCCTAACCCTGAGCCTCAGGCTGGCGGCGTTGAGTCCACCTGGACTGATGGCGGCGCGGCACTGGGCCCGAACGGCCTGGTCTACACGGTGCTTGGCAGGAATTCAGCGCTTGGTTTAGGGTTTTGGGGAAAGGGTCTACGGGCTGGGCGTCTTGTCTAGTTTAGTGGTTACGGCCATGTCCAGAAACTGGCATGTTCGCAGAATTTAAAAAAACGGGTGACTTTTCAGGAAATTGAGTTTGCGAGTTTGACACTTTCCGGCGATCCGGTTTATTTCGGAGCCTGAGAGTTGAAGTTTGCTCTTGCCTGTAAGCTGGACAGCTATAGCTTTAGGGCCTCTGGGCCCCGACACCACCCGGAGACTCGAATATCTTTTAATTAGGGTGAAGCGGAGCATTGTTTAAGGTTTAGGGGTTTAGGGCCAGCCGTGATTAGGCGAGCACAAAGTTCCGCAGTGTCGATGACAGCTTGATGCTGACGGGACCCCAGGTAGGATCCGATTACAACTCTTGGCACTAAACCCCTACCCCAAACCCAAACCGCCCCCCGAATCAAACCCTGAACCCATACCCTAGAGGGCATGGGTTCTAATTGCGAGCGCCCTCAAGTTACGGGTGCTACAACTACAACGGTTGGATTCAGGTAGCGAACAACCATCCCATGCCGCTCAACTGGATCCCCGAACACGCCCCTGGAACGTTGAGCGCCTTCAACGTCAGCGACTTGGATCTGGATTGCTGCTTTCTTTGGGCGCTTATACTACTATTTGCTTAAGAAACCCCCCCCCCAAAAAAAAATAATAATCCCTATATTACCCCCATATGGAATATATTTTTTATTTTTTTGGTGGTTCTTAAGCAAATAGTAGTATAGGGACTTTGGGCTGAGCCTTTTTTTGTTGCGCAGGGTGTCCTTATAGGTTGTAGGGATATACTACGTTGTACTTAAGCCCTCAGTTCTCAACTTACGCCTTCACCCCTAAACCTTAAACCCTAAGCCCTAAACCCTAAACCCTAAGCCCTAACCCCAAACCCTAGCCCTAAACCCTAAGCCCTAAGCCCTAAACCCTAAACCCTCAACCCTGACCCTCAACCCTAAACCCTGAACCCTCAACCCTAAACCCTAAACCCCAAAAAACCCTAAGCCCTAAACCCTAAGCCCTAAACCCCAAAAAACCCTAAGCCCTATAAATCCTAAATCCTACATCCCGAGGCGATGGGCGGCTGGTTTGGAAGATTACAACCCCACGGCCCCCGAACAGTGCGCCGGCCGTCGGCTACGTCAAGAACTTCCCTGGCCTGTCGATACTTGGCGACGGGTGTAGGGGTTTGGGGGTTTAGGGGTTTATGGGGTCTAGGCTTAGGGTTTAGGGTTGACCGTAATACTTGGCGTTCATCTGGTTGGCTCTTAGGACTTTAACTTTTTGGGTGTCTTTTTGAACTATAATAAGGAGGCTAAGAGTTTAACTTTTTGGAGGGGTTCAGAAGTCAGCCAAGGATAGTTATGCCTGTGTGCCAGCAGGTGGGAGTTGATTCAAAAATGGGGCCTATAAGAAGGGTTACTATGATTGATGTATATTTAAAGGGCTGAGTATAGGGCATAGGGGCCTGAATAAATGGAATAAGGTCGACTTAGAGGGAAGCCTAAGGAATAACTTGGGTAATTACTCAGGGAGTTTCTGACACGTGTCTAGGCCGAGTTGTAGCTGCAGTATCGGGTTAAGGGCTTTTGGGATTTGTAGACCCTAACCTCAAACCATAAACCCTTCCCCTAGTTTTCCGCGCGCCCCGAGATACGAATTGGAGCCACCTGCGATGTGGAAGCTACCGGACTGGATTTGGGGATTTCCGAAAAAAGGGACCCCAAATATAGTACCCCAAATAGTAGGATCCTTATTATAAGGACCCCTGAATAAGGTACCCCTAGTTTCGGAAACTCCCATTTGGGCTCACTCTTCTTTTCTTGCGCTTTGGGTGTTGAGGGTGCAGGGACCTTATCTTCCCTTCCATGTGAGTCCAACCATCCACCACCCCTGAACAACACCAAGGGCATTTTTGGGTGTAGGGTGTGGGGCTCTCAGGGTTTAGAGTTGAGGGTTTAGGTGGCTTTCCATGTGCTCCAATTTGCAAGCCAACCGTCGCAAGCTCGAGACCCTAAACGCCGTACCCCACACTGCGCAGCCTTTAACCTCAAGGTTTACGATGCAGAAACCGGTGGCCTCCGATGGACATTCCACGGACCGATGCAAACAGGCCTCCTCCAGGCGTGGGGCACCGAACAGACAGTTTAAGATTAGCGTGTGGGATCGGGGGGAAGATGGTTCAGTCTGATTGCGGTGACGATGCATGATGGTGATGGTGTTGATCTTCCTGACCACCACCACCACCGCCATCATCATGATCATCATATGACTCCATATCCATAATCATGATCATCGCCATTAGCGGCAGTGTCATCATCATCATCATCACCCTCGTCAATGTCATCGTTTTCAGCATCACCATAATCACGCCATCGTCCTAGATCCGCAGTCTTCCCCAGTCCGCAAGGACACGAAGCCACTTTAGCATGGAGACCATACCACTTAGGGGTACTTAGAAATAATTTTTAATTCTTGGTCATTATAATCTCTAAGACAGCTAAAATTGTAATTTTTGCTAGGATTCTAAGTTCAGTATAGACCATGTCCGATGTCCCCCCAGAAGGTCCCAAGAAAGTTGATCTCCGAAATCCGGAAGGCGCCCAACGGAGCCCCAAACCACTAAGCCTGCCCGAGTCCTGAATTCTGAACCCCAATTCCTCCTTCCGAAATTTAAAAAACGCCAACATCCTAAACTCAAAACCCTAAACCCCTCGATACCCCTTGCATGACTCGTGGAGGCCGGTGATGCCGAAGGAATAGCCTTCCGGAGCAAACGCGGCATTCGGCCGTATTGCATGCCGCTGGGTTGATCATGGGGTCCTGGGGCTAGGCTGTACAGTGGCAGACCTCTGGGTCCTTCTCCTTGGATACGGATTACAATAGAGACCCTTATTAAGGCGCCCTTCAATGGAGATTAAGTAAAAATAGTAATTCAGGGAGGTGCATTACTTTGTGCGGATGCTCAACTGTTTTCTTGTGGTCAAGGTCGTTGGTTGTGGGATAGGGTTTAAAACAAGGTTCAGGGTTCGGATGAAGTGAGGGTTTTTGAAACGAACCTACTGGTCCGGTTAGTGGTCCTGCACTGTAAACCGTTGATTCAAAACCCCCTGTTCAGGGGCCTTAACCTTAGGATCCGTACTGTGATTAATCCTGTTTAAGGTAAGCGGGTTTGTTAACCACTGCTCTATACGATGCACTCCAATATCCCTTAATCAAGGAATATACCTTAAATCTTATTAGGGATCCTACTCTAATTTAAGGTATATTCCTTACTTAAGGGATATTGGAGTCTCTGGGTCATACTCTTTGGATTTCGGAGCAGTGAGGTTCGGGGATCACCGGATTGTGTGTTTGGTTACGGACAGCGGTTCAGGTCTTGGGAGTTAGGTGGGTGGTTGTCAAAATTATGGTCCCCTTTTGGGTCCCTAATATAGTACGGCACCTAATATAAACCCTAAACCCTAAACCCTAAACTCGAGGGTACCCAAAAAGGAACCACAGGGTTTGCACTCCTCCAGTTTCGGCGGAAGGCAGTGTCCTAAACCCGAAACTTTAGGGTTTACGGAGTTTAGGGGGTTTAGGGAGTTCAGGGAGTTAATGGAGTCTAGGGAGTTTAGGGAGTTTGGAGAGTTTGGGGAGTTTAGGGGTGTAGGGCTTAGTGCTTGCTTTGCGGCTGAGGGGAATTTGAATGGGCCCAAGCCTCAAAAAGCTCAGGCCAAATGGTTGGAGCGCATCTACTATCGACTCCGATGGCACCGTGTTCGTTGGCAATGAGGAAGGCAATCTCAATGGAGGGGCCTTAATAATTAGAATAGGGTTTCGGGGGGTTCCTTATTTTGGTTATAGTACAATATAATTACCCCAAAACCCTTTGCTAACTATTCAGGCCCCTTTCTTATAGTACCCCTCTCCCTTATAGTAACCCTTCGTATACCCCTTTAAAGGAGCCCTATTCTAAGGATTAAGGCCCCTATATCATTCACATCAGGTCCAAACCCCAACGACAACCCTCCACAAATGCAGCTGGAACAGAGTCGTAGCCTGACGTCAAAAGCAATAAACTTGATTAAACCCTCAACCCTAGGCCCTAAAACGCCGAACCCTAATGCCTAAAGTTCTAAACCCCAAAATCACAGTTCTGAACCCCAAAATCACAATGAAATCTTGAACCCCATATAAGACGTATGGCCAGGCAACTTCTATGCGCTCAGGGACATGAACGGCGATGGCGTGGTCTCTGGCCCGAACGAGGTGGCGTTGCACCTAGGCTTAATCTCCCTGTTGCTTAGTAGGGGATGGTTGACTGGATCCTGTTCCGTATAGTAGTCCCTATATAATCCCCAAAAATAGTCTCCATAGTCCATTCCCCCATTCCCTACTAAGAACCAGCAGTAACGGGCGAGTTTGGTATTGGAGACATGGATTGCCAGCTGTTCAACATAGCCCCGCACATAGCTGTAAGGCAGGATCCGTTTTTGGTCAAGGCCTCTAAACCCGAGAACCCTAAACCCCCCCCCCCTAGAGCCACCCAGGTATGACCCTAAACGAGCATTCCTTCGTTTTGCTCAGGGTCTGGGATGGTGTCTCCCGGCAGCCCGCGTTGAGAGGGTCCGACATGGTCAGCGGAGCATATCCGACCCGAGCTACGTGTATGTCCGACCTTGCATATGTATATGTATATGTATGTATGTGTATATGTATATGTATATGTATATGTATATGTATATGTATATGTATATGTATATGTATATGTATATGTATATGTATATGCATATATATATATATATACATATACGTTGAAGGCTGTGCGAACCAAGAAGGCATCATACTGCATCTCGTGTTCTCGATAATTGGAGCGACTGGCGTTACGTGGGCCTCCTTGATGCGGTACCGCAGGAGTACAACTATCCCACACCCTAAATCAAGTACCGGCACTGAATGTTCTGGGCGTGGGGAACCCATACCTAATACCAAAAGCAATGCCGGTCTACTCCTGCTCACTGCTTGCTCAGACTTTGGGGTGGGAGTCTTTGACATGGAGGCGCGAGCACGGCAGAGAGCGAAGTTTCACTTCTCCCAAACATTCCCAAACCATCTGTAGGCGACGTTGGCAGGTTCATTGCCTCGTCAGGTCTAGCGGTACAGTAACTCAAAGCGTAAATGGCGGACCACAAGCCGCCAGATCCTGGGACATGCGCTCCTTTTCAGCATTCAGGTTTCAGAATGTGCAGCTCTGTCGCAGCATGTGGTTGTTTTGTTGAGACAGAGAACGACTCTGGACAGATGCAACGGCTCCCAAGTTCCTCTGCGCTGTGGGCCATTTCTTCCGCCTGCCACTTGCACATCTGCGGCACCATCTACCGGCGCCGTGTCGTATACTGGCCGCATGTTGCCACCTTCGTGCGTCTGTCCTGTGCAATTTCACCATGGCCCTGTGTCGCTTCATGTCTGTCCTGAAAAGGAGGCTGCGGTGCATGCCGTGTTGCAGCATGCTGGTTTTCACGTGTTGGACAACTCTGTGCACGGCCATTGTTGGTGGCATGCAAGCGCCCAGCACACGGGCTTGTCCCTGGACACTGGAATCACGCTTTCCTCAGACAAATGAAGTCCAAGCATGCTTGCCTGACCCTTCTTAAGACTTCGACGGCCGTTCCGGAGATAAGCTTGGCAGTGCTCCTTTTACACAGACGGCCTGCTAATTTTGCACAAACCCGCAAGCTGCGCCTACCTGTTTATGCCCCAGTGCCGGCCACAATGCATCAACCCTGCCGCAGCGCAATATTTGCTACTGAGGTGGGCCGCTCCGTCTGTCATGATCTTTACCCAGCAGCCTGATGCAGACATCGGGCACTATGCTCCGTGTCTACGCCACAACATTCGATGAGGTTCACTAGAAGCGGGAGTCTGATCGCTGATTTCTGGTTGTTTGACCCACGGCTTGCGAGCCGCGTGCGCTGACTGGTTTTGACGGTAGCTTGTTAGCAACGGAAAGGCGGCGGAGATGTTGATCCGGGAGGCCCTGTATGCAGGCGCCGGTGAGTCTCACCTGGGAAGATACCCCAACGAGCTTCCCGCAATCTGTTGCTAGGTAAGCATGGTTCGACAGCGGTGATCGCTTGCAGAGCGGGCTGCAGACCTTGGGTCCGTGACGCCAAAAGAATTGCAGTTCTGCTCCTCGTCAGTACTTTTGGATCTCGCCTCCCACTTTCAGTAGCATTCACAGCCTTGCGGCGGTTGCGTTGCAGATTGCAAACTCGATCAGTCAAGGCGAGTCCCGCTCCGCACATTGCAGATGTGCCTCGGAGAGCTAGGAGATTACTTAGAGTTCGGATCACTGCAGAGATGGCGCTTGCGAGGAGCCATCCAGGCACCAGAGCCAGACTGAGAATCGCCAAGATGACGAACCGTTTATGACCTTGGCTGGTCGGCCCTTCACTCTGCTGTGTGCCTGCAGAACGGCTTTGCATCGGTGTCAGCTGGACACCGGTCCTGGCTCATGCGGTTTTGTTTCAACAAGACTGAACAAGCCGACAGTGGGAGTCTGGGATGTGGCAACCTCGGGGCATGACGACGTGCGAATGGAGACACCAAGCCGAACAGAATCGCAAGTATAAAAGGAGTTACTCGTCGCGACAAGCAGCCCAAGCCCAAACAGTAATTGATTGAACAACCAGACCTTGTACCCCAAACCCCCAAGCCCGTTGCATGCACGAGAAGGGGCCCTAAAGAAAAACCCACACACGTAAACCCCTAAACTCCTAAGCCCCTAAACCCTCCAATGGCCCCAACCCCTAAACCCCTAAACCCTAAACTCAGGTATGATACGAAAGCAGCTTTCTCTGGATCCTCCAGCCCGGCCTTCGCACCAGGGCTGATGGCCGTCGCCTCTTGTGACACGCTTTTTGTTTTCAAGCCGAAAAGCCCGTAGAAAGGCGTTTTCGGGTTTAGGGTTTAGGGCGTTTGGGATTTAGTTCCGGGGTTTGGGCTTTCTAGGGTTTGAAGGGGTTCAGGGCTTAAGGCATTGCCAGCTTCGACGAGGATGGGGTATACAAGTTTCACCGCTGCAGCATGCACGCCCAGGGACTCCAAAATCTTCGTAGTCAAGGTATATCCGTGTGTCTTTGTAATTCGAGTTAAGGAAACCCCATTCTATTGCAAAATTCTACTTCTGATGCGTGTTGCTTGGTCCGGGGATCTGGAGGCTCTGGACGACTGCTTTCGCCAGCTTGGAGTAGAGCCAAGCGTCACGTCGTGCCCATGCGTAAAAGGCTGTCTGGACATAGGGACTGGATTCGAAGTGTTGACTTTCTAAGATTTTATAGTTTTAGAACGACCTCGAACTTTTCGGTTTTCTCACACTCGAGGGTTCTCAAGCTGTCTTGCATTTTTCAGTGTGAAGTAGACCTAAACACACGAAATTGACAACATGCCAGAAGCCTCCATCCAAAGCATCAGATGCCCCCGTACTTGGTTTACAGTTCTGTAGAGTAATCAGTTTGTGTGCTTCGTAAACCCAACAGAACTACGACGTTGTACACTTGAAGCTTAAGCCCACCTCAAACCGTAAAACCCCACGAGCTTAAAACCTAAACTCTCTCGAAGCCCGACGACAAAGACGCCGCAACCCCAAGCACCCCCTCGACCCCCGCACACCCTCAACGCCTTTAGGGTTTAAGGTTTAGGCTAGGGCTTCTTACGAGCTCTTTGGGAGCCCAGAAGCCTTGAATGTGGAGAGTTTTTCTTGGTTTTTGAAAAATCCCAAGAAGGTTTACAAAGTTTACGGCATATTCCAAATTATGATGGGCATTTGTCAGGCCGTCTTGTTGGAATGCTCAACCTCGGACCTTAAATAAACTTTTCTATGAATGCGGATAAGCAAAACTATCTACACCCTATCCTAGGTATGGAGGCCTCTATTGCCCAGCTCGGGGCCGTTTCCAGAGGCCTCGTTGCTTCGCAAATCGCGCAAATCGCGACCCAACACCTTTAACCTGCAATTCCTGAACTCCTCAAGTCCTAAGCCTACGCCCTACATGCTACAATCCTAAGCCAGGAGCAAACAAATCTAAGACCCTCATGAAGACCGCCTAAACCCTCCCAAGACCCAAAGCCCTCATAAAACAGAAGCGACCTAGACCCTAAAAATCTAAACCGAAAGCCTTAACTTTGAAACCCTACCTTAACCCTGAATAGCCTACCTTTTTAGGGTTCCTTATTATGGTTTCCTTATATAAGTCCTTAAAAAGGTAGGTTATTCCGGCTTAAGGTACAGCCTTAAAAGCCCTGAGGCCACGCATCCAGGAGTGCAGTTCCCGACGGTTCTTTGGCTCCAAGGACCGTGCCGGGACGGTCTCTGACATTTCTCCGCTGGGTTTGATGTAACTACGTAGTTACAGTATACTACTGTAGTGCTTCATATTAGATTCTAGAGGTTTTGTCGCGTTTTGTAAACGTTCATGGTGGTTTAGGGGCAGTTTAGCGGGTTTTGTTCTCTAGCGCGGCGGTTATGAAATTGTAGTGTAGTAGTAGAGTCTATTATTCTTGTAAAGGAAAAGTTATAGCTTTAAGATATCTTCAAGAACAGCTCAACGTGTAGGATTTGGGGTTCAGGGTCTAGGTTGCAGGATTTTGGGATAAGGCTTCACCTGAAGTTTAGGGCTTCGAGTTCAAGACAGGTTTAGGGTTTCGGGTTCACTTCAGGTCTGGCGATTCAGGGATTCGATTCGTTGTTTGAGGCTGGCGGGGGTCTAGTTTTTAGACTAGGGTTTGCGGTTTAGCTTGGCATAGCGGAGTTTTCCACGCAGGCAGTCCGTAATCTTTATGCCAGTTCATTTGTTGGGCACGGGCTTGCGCGAAGCTCAACAGGTGAGGTAGGCCTGAGCTCTTCGCGCGCTCGAGTTTCCCTACTCTCAATTGCTTACCTTTCTATGGACACATATAGGGAACCCATTTTGGGGAAGCGGACAAATGCAGGTTTCTTAGGTTTCAGGTACGTACGCCCCAACAAAGTTTGGCACGTGAAGAGCATTGTAATGTAACTGCATCCTTTCAGTCGCCAAGGTTAAAAGCTTCAAACACCGCCGCATTAACGTTTGAATCGACCGTCAAGTAAATTGATAAGGGGGTCTTCCTGAGGAAGTCAGAGACTCCAATATCCCTTAATTCAGGAATATACCTTAAATTATAGTAGGATCCCTAATATGATTGAGGGAATATTCCTTAATTAAGGGATATTGGAGTCTCTGGGAAGTCACGTCCTCTTGGGTGGAGTAGTAATAGGAGCGGCGGTCCTAAAGCCGACCCAGCCATCCCAGAAAAAAGAACCTTCGTGATGATTCTGCTTAGTGTTTAGAGGTGTGCGTGCTCCTTTTTTGAGAAGGTATCTGAACAATTCATATGTGTACCTATCTTCCGATGAGTGGAGTGAAAAACTTGAGTGCAGACCCGCCGTGCAGTTGGGCCAGTTTGAGCCACTTCGAGTGTTCATCAGCCACTTCTTGTACAAGTTAGTTTAGAGTGCGGGGCCAACGCCAGAATGCAATCATAAACATACTGCCGTTCCTTGCAACCCCAGCTGCAACTGCACTTGAGTTTCCAGGCATCTTGAACCGCTCATCCGAGGTCGTCTGCCCGAGGTTTAGAATATTGAATCATGCCATGTCGGACAAACCTGGCGGCTTGGGGCTAGACGTTCATATTACATATTCGAGCTTAGACCCGAACCCCCCAAACCCGAAACCCGTGAAGCCAAGCATGGGGGATCACATGTTCCACCGCACGCAAACTGCGCCTCTCAATCCAGCTTTGGGCATGTCGAAGCTTGGAACCCCACAGCCACAACCATAAAGCCCGAGCCGCAACCCACAAACTCCCAACCAAATGCCCCAAAACCGCCTCAAACCCTAAGCCATAAGCCCCAAAACCTCTAGACCCTAAGTACGTAAACCCCCGTAAACCCCCTTTTAGTATAAACCCCCACCCTTACAACCGCAGTGTCTACAGCCCAAGCCCTGAAATCTAAAGTTCTTCAAGTCTGAACTCGGAGCCCCGAGCATCATAGCGCTCAAAGCTCTACCTTAACCTCCGAAAACCTACAAAAAAAGGTAGGGTCCCCATAAATCCCATATTAGGCTGTACAAGAAGAACCTGCAAAAAAGTAGGGTTTTGTAGGTCATCTGGGTACCTAAACCCACAGCAACCTCAACATCCGTCACAAGTGCACCAAAGCCCGCAAACCCACATAAAGCTCCACAAAAGACTCCCCTAAACCCCTAACCCCTAAACCTCAAACCCCTAAATCCTAAACCCTAAACCCTGAACCCAACACAAAGCTCGGAACGGTAAGAAGCTCCCGTTGTGCCGGGCCTGATCCGGCCGCCACCTCGGAGTTCGCGTTCGGAGCATCACTGAGACCAGGCTGTTCAGTGGTACATTTTTTTATTTTCATGTTCAGGGTTTTAGGTTTCGGGTTTAGGGTTCCCATTATAAAAGAAGAAGCCTAAAAAAATAAATACTTTGTCCCAGTGGGTTACTGAACAGCCTAGGAGAGCAAGGGGCCTCCATTGCATCTCTGGCGGGGAAGAGCTCCTAGTTAAGGAACACCCCTTAAACTATAGTAGGGTCCCTAATATGATTTTGGGTGGGTTTTGGTTTGGGTCTAGGGGCTTAGGGTGTCTGGGTTTAGGATGGTTCAGGGGTTTAGGAGTTTGGGGTTTGGGGGTTTAGGGGTTAGGGGAAGAGCTGTCGGCATATGGGTTTTGAAAGGCTATCCTTTCAGTGTTCCTTACGGGACTTTCGGCGTATTCTGGGTCCTTAAGGGTTTGATAATGGTTTCTTAGGGTTCCATTCGGAGCGTGGGAGTGGAATTTGAGATTTTGATGATCTTGAGGGATTAGTGGGTCGGGGTTACCACTCGTCGTTGCGGTGTCTGGCTTCTGTTTTTCGAAAATCGGATTTGGGCTGTAAGGCTTAGGGCTTTTGATTTTTGTGGTTTTGGTGCTTCAGGGGTAGAAGGAGTTGAGAGTTATTTGGACGTAGATTTTTTGAAACTTGACACTTTTAAATGGTACTTGGGGTGAGGGTTTTATTGCAAAAGGTTAAAGGTTGAAAGAGTTATAACAAGGGTGTGGTTCCAGGGGCAAGGCGGGCTGGGAAACAAGCCTGCAGAAGTATGTTAATTTCTAGGTTATCTTCCGAGGACCCCAGCACAACATAATCGATACCCACAATCGCTACATTCCGCATCAACCAAATACCCCTACGTAAACCCTGTTGATACTAGCAGAACTCCAATATCCCGGCCCGATATCTTTAAGACTACTCCACACCCAATCGGGGCCGTTGGTTGAATCTTTCGGTTCGTCTACAGTTTCCCTAGGAACGCATATTCAGTAGCGTGAGGAGTAGTATAGTGAGCCGGCAACAAGTCAAGTTCAAAGCGCACCGAGATGCCCTTGCAGGAGTTAAGGCTCCGGCAGCACAAAACCCCCAAGCAACGTTTGCGTCTTGACCCATAAGGCCTCAGCTAACATTTTGGTGCGGAAGCTGCTTAGGTACAGCGGCCCCAGCTGTTTGACCGAGAAAATCTTCCGCGGCGGTTGTGTGCAGACATCAACATGCCGCGTGCGAAGGGAAAGATGCAGTGACCTGGCATGGTGATTGGGCTGAATCCCCCCTGTAGTTAGGTGTTTCAGGAAAGGTTCTTTTATTCTTCGAGGCATATTGGGGAAACTATATCACCTTATAGGAGAACCCTACAAAACCTTCATGCACCCTCCCATGCCCCGAAATCTACAAGCTTTGAATTTAGAATTCAAGCTTGACAGGGCAGGAATGTTTCAGAGGGTAGCCCAAGAAGGAACCGTTGGACCGAAACAGCAACGATAACTGTGTTTCCCTGCTCTTTAACACCGAAACGTAGGTTTTGGGTTTTGATGCGTTGATATCAATCAAAACTTTTAGCTTCTCATTTCACCACGGCATTGGGCCCACACTCCAACGGTGCAAGCCTCGTCATTCGGCGCAGGCTCCATCTTCCTGTCGGCAAGATTTCCCACAACTTTAAGTCGTAAACCTAGAATCTTAACCCCGTCATTTACACAGAGCTTCAACGAGCGACATTGCAGAGCAGAGTTTTGGGCTTTCGGGTTCGGATATTGCCGAGGGCTTCATTTACCAGCCCCCAGAGCTATCCAGGGTTCGGTTTTAGGGTTTCAATTTCAGGCTTTGCGTTTAGGGGTTTCGGGTTTTGGGCCTAGTCTCTGTATAATTAATGGTTGTCGTCTCTAGAAAATCCCGAAAGCTCCATATCAACAGCGCTAAACCGGCAGAGCTTTAAGGCCACGAGCTTTGCAGAGACTCAAACAACCTAACTCCTGGCATCGTAAGGAAGTCGTCCATTAAACTGGGCGCTCGCATTGAGAAGGACACTTGGACGTCACCAGAATAGGGTTTGGGTCTTGGGGTGTTACTGTTTGGGAGAAGTATTAAGGATCCAATACGGGGGATCCCCAAACCCTAAACCCTAAACCCCAAAATCATAGCACAATGGCCGCAAGTTTGGGGTTCAGGGACTTTAGGGTTTGGCGGTTGAGGTATACTTACTTCCCTTAGACCCTCAAACCCACAACCCTAAACCCCCCAAACCCGGTTTCCTAAACCTTTACCCTGAAACCCTAAACCTAAACCCTAAGGCCTTTAACTCAAATCACTGTCGGGCCAAGACCGACAGCCCTAAACCGCAAGGCCACGAAAACTCTAAAAAAGTCGGAACCACGAAGACGCCAAAGCCTGAACGCCCATGCTTGCACCCCGAAGTTGGCGATGATGCAGGTAATGATGATGATGATCGTGAAGATGGCGCGGCTGCTGGTAAGGATGTTGGCAGAGATGTCGAACCTTAATCCGTGGTACCCAAGACCCTAAACTCCACCTAGAACCAACCTACGTCCCAGACGGGTGCAAGTCTAACCTAGACCTCAAACCTGCACAGAAACCGGAGCCTTAAACCCTAAACCCCTAGATCTCTAAACCCTAGCCCCCAAACCCTTAAATCCTAAACCCGTAAACCCTAAACTGCAGGATGTTAAAGGTGCTGCTGGTGAGCGCCCGCAAGCACAAACCTTGGACTTCCGATCGGCAGCTGCTGGGCTCTTGTTAAGGGATTTAGGGTTAAGGGTTAAGGGCTTAGGGGTTGAAACTTGGGGTTTAGGGTTTAAAATTTAGGGTTCAGGGTTTAGGGTTTAGGGTTAAGGGATTTGAGTTTAATTTAAGTTGCCATAATAAGGAAGCCATTCGGGTTCCTAAAGGGGATCTATGTTTCTTTATCGGTATAGGGATTTAGGTAAAGTTACCATAATAAGGAAACCATATTCTTTACTGTAGATGCCGATTATGGTAATTTAAACTGCGTTCCTCAGCAAGAACCCAGGCTGCGATTCCCGAGTTCACGCTCGCAGAGCCCTGGCTGCTGTATTCATGGGGTTTAGGGTTTAGGGTTTAAGGATTAATCTAGGATTTAGGGGTTGAGGGGTTGAGCTTTTAAGGTTTAGGCTGCTTTATGTTTCTCGCTTTGTGGGGCTGTGGGTTTGGGGATTCAGTGTTGAGGCAATTGGGGGGTTTGGCTCAGGGGTTTGGGGAAGAGTCAGACTTTGGGATTTAATGTAGGGGCCTTAGTAATTAGAATAGGTTTCGGGTATATTGTACTATGATTATAATAAAGAACCCCCAAAACCCTATTCTAATTATTAAGGCCCCTACATTCAGAGTCTAGGGTTTGGTTGGCAGCTGATTTCTCGAATGCCCAACTATTGAGGCAAATAAGCCAGTGTCAATTTTCGAAACATGGGAACTTTCGCCGCAGGAACCTCGACAGCGATGGGTAACGTAAGTAGTAAGTAAGACTGGCTGTAGGGGTCGTGGTAGTCGCAGACTGGCTGTAGGGGTCGTGGTAGTCGCAGTGGTAGTTGCAATTGTAGTCGTCGTAGTAGGAGGAGGAGAAGTAGTCGATGGCTTCACTCTGTGGATCCAAGCTTTTCCAAGTTTCTGCGGCACGATTCCCACGATGGGTTAGCGGCATCACCACGGGTGTAGGACAAATCTCCCTCGGAGGATCCGCTGGCCAATGCCACCGGCAAGAGGGCACCATGGCTGCAAAGCTCCGGGTTGGGTTGAGGATAGGCATCGGATGGAGGAGGAAGTTGGAGCGCCGCACATTTCCGGCAAGCCAACTTTCCTCAATCTGCTTTCTTGAGGCATGGTTGGGCTGCTTCTTGTGTATCTTGAATTCGGAATGCACTTGCATCCCTTTATTGCAAGCCTACCCTGCATGCTGCGGAGGCATTGTGTTGTTACTTTCGGTCTTGTCGAACGAAACGTCCCCAAACCCTAAACTCAACAATAGCCCCAAGCTGCGAGAAGCCCCCTCTAAGTCCCTGGGTTCTTGAACCGCAAGGTTGCGACAAACAGTGGTATGAAGACCACGTTCGCTGCAGAGTCATGGACTTGGCTTTCTCACCGCTTAGGCTGCACTTGAAGGATGATGGGAAGTTACAAATAGGGTTAGATATCTGAGTTGGGGAGATGAACTAAAGCGTAAACCCCAAAAGCCGGGGTTTAGGGTGTCGGGTCAAGGGTTAAGGGTCTAGGGTTTAGCGTTTAGAGTGCACACCTCAGGGTCTAGGTTGAGGGTTGAATCCTGAACCCACTTCCCTGAGGATCGGACTCAGGGTTTGCCTTAAACCCTAAACCCTTAACCTTTAGAGTCACCAGGGCAAGCCATATATCGCAAGCACCTGATCTTCGAAACCGCTCCTTTGCAATATGGTCTAGGTCTTATGACCTCTCCCCCCGCGCCCCCCCGCTCCTTTAAAAAAGCTTTCAAGCCTCCTTATTTGAGGAATATACCTTAACACAAGATAATACGGTGTAGGGTTCAAGGCTTAAGGTGAAGGGTTTACCTACCTTAAACCGACATGAAATATTCGGGCTCTCGTAGATTCAGGTTGTTCTCCTCCTTTACGAAGGTACCCTACACCCTAAACCATGAACCCCTAAACCTCAAACCCCAAAACCCCTAATTCCCTAAACCCTTAAACCCTACACCCCTGAACCCTAAACCCCTAAACCCCCAAACCCTAAACCCCTAAACCCTGAACCCTTAAACCCTAAACCCTAAACCCCAAAAACCCCGAAACAGCTAAACCCTTAAACCCTTAAACCCTAAACCCAAAACCCCTAAACCCTTAAACCTTAAACCCTGAAACCCTAAACTCTGAACCCGGAGCCTTTCAGTCGCAAGGTCCTCGTTGAACATCGCCCGGCGCACCAAGATGGGCTGCGTGCCTTTGGGCTGTGCTGGGGCCTTGGGTCGATTCCGCGAATTGTGGGTTTCCGAAAATAGGGGACCCTAATATATCACCCTAAATAGTAGGATCCTTATTAGAAGGACCCCAATATAAGGTACCCCTAATTTTCGCAAACTCCCAAATGGGCGTGTGAGTCGGAACCAGGGAGCGTGGTATGGACTTGGGTGAAGGAGGGCAAGTTTAAGCTTCAATATGAAAAAGTGGAGGGCATTGCTTACTGCAGATCCCATGCATGGCAACTTGAACTACAGTATCTTTGTGGACCAGACGGCAGATCAAGAGTAGTTTCGCAACTTAGGGGCTAGGTATCCCGTGATATTCGGCATGTTCTTGCTTGGTCTATGAGCTGCACAACTACATCTACTATAGAAGAACAAATAAACAGTAATGCATCGCGCTACACAGTCCGAAAGTAACGGATGCTTTAACATACACTAAAACCCAATTCCCTGGTTCCCAGAGAGTCCAATATCCCTTAATTAAGGAATATACCGTAAATCATAGTAGGATCCCTAGTATGATTTAGGGAATATTCCTTAATTAAGGGATGTTGGAGTCTCTGGGTTTTGAGGCTCCGAGACTCACCGTAAGCTCCGAGCCTCCGAAATCCACAAAGGGTCGCTCCATGGTCCATACCTGCTCAGAAAGGGTTTAGGGTTTAGGATTTAGGGTTTAGGGTTTAGGGAACATCCGACACCCAAACCGAAACCAACTTTCTGAACTTTCTAGCGTTCAGGTTAGGGGTTGAGGGTTTAGGGTTTCGCATGCTGCAGAGGGTTTGTCGGTTAAAGTTTTGGGGTCTGAGCCAACGGGGGATTGAGGATAGTTTCTCAGCTCCTAGGCGGCCGCTCCGAATTCGAGACCAGATAGGGCTTGGGGGCTGGAAGAGTATGATACTTGGACACTGCTCTGCGGCTTCTTCTCCGGGCTGCTATTTCCCTTAATTGTTTGATATAGAGCCCTGATTATGAATGCTTTGCGGACCGTTGAAATCGACACCTATTGTAGATGTGTTAGATACAGGGGTCTGAATGATGAGAATGTATCAGATCTCTGTATACTCTCCTGTACCCCAGAAGTCCTGTTTCAATGATGCGGGCCCCTATGCGAAGATCTTGACACCATCCTCTTGACTCCCTGGCTCCCCATATGGGAGTTTCCCAAAATAGGGGTACCTGTATTTTGGGGTGCTTATAGTAAGGATCCTACTATTTAGGGTACTATATCAGGGTCCCCTATTTTCGGAAACTCCCATATGAGGCTGCTTGGAGGCTCCATGAGCAACGAAGTGTTCCGGAAACTCACGCAACGAGACGCGTTGAGAGTGAGCTTGTTTTGTTGTTCAAGAGGAGACAGTGCCTCTGAGCACCTTCAAGCCCAGTACAAACTCAGCAAAACCGCTGACAGTTCTTCAGCCGAAGGCCGTGGAAGATGACGCAGCCATCACTGAAGAGCTTTCCATTGAGAACTTGGACCTCTCTTCACGCAGCAGGCATTCTCTTAGTAGCGGAGTGGATATGCTTTACACTTTTTGGGATAATATTACCTACTATAAAGCTGAAAGTGTACACTTTTGGGGGCTTATGAACTCATCAATTAGGGAAGGCAGGTGTGGTAATCCCAAGTCAGTGTCCTGATATGAGCCCCCTGGACCCTGCCACATTCATCCTACCATCAAATTTGATGGCCTGGCACTCCAAGCCTCAAACTCAACCATTCATCCCCAGCTCTGAACACTGACTGCCCTGAGCCTCAATACTAAGCAGCCTTGGGGAGACTTGGAAGGATGCTGAGCCCTAGACTTAACATGGAACATGAAACGATCCTGATTTAGGGCTCATGGTTTCGGGTCTAAGCCGTTAGGCGCTGAGTTTAGGGTTTCAGGTTTAGGAACCCTAGCCCTAGACCCTAAACCCTGAAACCCTAAATCGGTTAAGGGTTGAGTTTAGGGTGTAGGGTGCAAGGGTTTGGGTTTCCGGCTTCGTCTCGAAAGGCACCAGTTTGGGGTTGTTTGTAGAGTTGGCTTTTCTTTGGGTACTGGTGGGTGCAAAGAGGTTTCCTTAGCCGGGTACAGTTTTTGTTTTGGGATTGTTCAGGGGTTGAGGCGGTAACCGCGGGGCTGTCAGGTGTTCGGCTTTGGAGTGTAGGTACATGAGAGTTTCCGAAGTTAAGGGACCCTAATATAGTACCCCAAATAGTAGGACCCTTATAAGGATCCCAAGGATAAGGTACCCCTAATTTTCGGAAACTCCCACATCAAGATCGGATGCTTGGGGTGTTAGGGCTTGAGGCTTCCGGCGCTTGCACTTAGGATGTATACATCCCTAAGCCCCAAACCCTGAACCGCTATGCTGTGTACAACCCTTAATAGCAACCACCCCGAAGAAGCTTTGGGCATTACATTGTACGCAAAGTAATTCTATGATCAGTCATTCAGGCTGCGATTTTGCGTGTAAATGCCCGGACGGCGGGATAGTACGTCTCCAAACTGTTACATGCAAGGGGCTAGACTAGAAATCCAGGGGCAGATCAAAGCTGGGATGCCATGCCCCCAACCTGTTACCCTAAGCCAAAAAACCTGAAACCCAAAACCACCTTGCACCCTAAACCTTCAACCCTCAACGAATGTGAAACCCCAAACCGTGATTCCGAGATCAGCTGCTGGTCAAATTGTTGCGCAAAGAAGTTTCACAGAAACACGTTTGGCATCATTCGGACGCCACATGAGGCCGTGGGCACCTACGTAATCCCTAAACTTGTGCCTCAAACCCTGCAACCAACCGCCTGGGATAACGCATAACCCCGAAACCCAAAACCTCAAAACCCTGTAATGTAAAGCACGCTGCTGCCTCCACCCCTAGCTAACCCCTAAACACTGAAGCTTCAGGCCCTAAGCCATGTAGAACCCTTCTACAGGTTACCCTAAACCCAAAGCTCTAAACCCTGAACCCTACACGCTACACCCTAACACCCGTAAACTCTACATCTTAAACCCCTAAACTCTTAAATCATGAAATCCCTAGACCCTAAACCCCTAAACTCTACACCCTAAACGTTAAACTCTACCAGTTCTTCTGTTCTTCACTTGGAGGTTCGGGGGACTCAGTAAATAGGATTATGAGTAGGTAGCTGTGGTCATGCCTGGTTAAAACCCCAATCAGGGCACCTATAACCTATTATAACCTTACTAAGTCTCCTAAACCCTAAACCCCTGAACCCAATTAGGTATCTACAACCCTAAACTCTAAGCCCCAAGCCCCATAAGCCCTAAAACTTACCAAGTCACCCCCCCATGAACCTCCAAGCAGGCAGTTGATGCCACGCCGGCCCGCGTGGTCATACGAGATTAGCAGTGGCCGCTTGCATCATCGCGAGGCGTGGGGGTTTAGGATTTAGGGATTTAGGATTTATGGGTTTAGGGTCTAGGATTTCGGAATTTTTGGGTTCAGGGTTTGGGATTTATTGTTTGGGGTTTAGGGTTTAGAGGTTGAGGGGCTTTGGGGTTTAGGTTCTAGAGGTTGAGGGGTTTTGGGGTTTAGGGTCTAGAGGTTGAGGGGTTTAGGGGCATTGCAGGGTCTTAGCGAGGTCTTATGGAGGGTTTTATATCGGCGTTATCCCGGTTTATCGCAATCCTCAAGCCAGGGGGCAGCAGCAGAGACGGTGGAGCCTCAGCCCAAGGCGAAGCCCTGGAAGGCAAACGACAGAAGATAACACAAAAAGTGAGGACGCCGCAGACGAAGAAGTGGCAGGTGCTGGATATGCTGAGTGAGAGCAACACCAGGTATGCCGACATTGTGCCGAAGTACATCAAGGAGTCTGCTGAGAAGGCGGCCACCTTCACTGCTGGCGTCTTGGACGCCGCCCAAATCCAAATCCCGAGTCGTTACCCGCCAACCCCGAACCGACGGAAAGCGGGCCATCACGATGCAGCCACCGTGTCTGGACAGCAGTTTGGCGCCGTGGCCCAGAAGAAGTTGGATGGCAATGTGCTGCGGATCGAGGACCCTAAACCCTAAACTCTAAACCCTAAACCCCACACCCCAAGCCGTGCTGCGGATCGAGGACCTTAAACCCTAAACTCTAAACCCTAAACCCCACACCCCAAGCCTGGAGCATCTGATGAATGATTTGGAGAACCTAAAGCCCCAAACCTTAAACCTGGAATCTCAGATCAGAGCCCGGAAAGCTTGACTGTAAACCTGACTGTATACCCTAATCCTAAACCCCAAAAGACTAAACCCGAAGGCATAAGATGCCAATGGGAGGGACAGAGAGAGAGAGAGAGAGAGAGAGAGAGTCAGAAGCTCACAGATTAGATAGGACTCCAGAACAGAACCCCCTTACAATAAAGGATCCTTTCTATTTAGAGTTCTGCAAGGTTCCATCAATCTAACACTACTGGGTTTAGGGATGGTTACGCCGGTTGAGGGGTTAGGGTTTGAGAGGGGACTGTTGTGGCGTGGGAAGATAAGCAGAAGATAAGCATGGGTTCCTTCTTCTTTGCTACCTCTGATGCAGCGGATCTCTGTGCCACCACACGCGACATGGAAAACTATGCGGATGCATGTGTACATATAACATGAAAAAACAACGCGGCAGATGCTCATGAGGCTTCCTCATACAGATGCTGAAGGCCGTTCTCTTTGAGAATAGCCTTGAGCTTCTTGAGCTCAGTCACGGTCTCTTCGTGCTTTTCTGCATCCCACTGGGCGCGAGCCACTACGCCTTCGAGGTCGTCGATCGTCTGGGCCATCACGAGCATCTTACGTTTGAGACTTGACCCACTGTCGCGGTCCCCGGAAATGGAGGAAGAAGCCGAAGACAGTTTAGGGCGACGTAGCCAAGTCTTAAGGGCCTCCTCAGCTTCATCGGACCAGCTATTCGACCCCAAACCCACGCTGCGCTTGATGTTAGCGATCTGGGTCTGTAGATTACGAACAGTCATAGCCGCTTTGGACGGATGTGCCGGGAGGCTTCCATCCTGCAGCTGCTGGTGCAACGTCTTAGCTGCCGGAGGTTCGCGGTCCGGGGTTGAGTCCGCAGCGCTCACACCCAAGTCCAGGGTGAACTTGCCACCGCCCTTGCGGGACATGTGGCCTGAAACGGACACCACCGAGTACGGCATCGCGAGTACGAAGAAAGCTACAACCTACAGAAAGGCTACGTGTGTCTGAGAGGCGGCTGAAGCGAGCATAGGTAAGACTGTGCATGTAGTCACGCTGCTCATCAGAAGCACGGCATGCAGCAACAGTGTTTCTTTTGCTGTCCCTGAGCAATAAGGTCGCGGCCTATTGTCGTCATCGCTTCAGGCGCTTCGCGCTGGGCCTCTTGTGAACACTGCGTGATTTGGCAGTCGTTCGTCGAGTCAGCACTCCGTGCTGCGCCCGACCATGGAGGTTAAAGAACTTGCATGCCTCCAGTACCCAAAATTTGTGACTGTGGGGTCGCAGGCTGTTCAGAAAAAAGTTCAGGGGGCGAATCCACGCATTAAAGATTTCCGCGGTGTTGGTACGCGTGTCGCGGGCACGGCGGTCTTCGGCCCTAGTGAGTTTTCTTTTACTGCAGGTATGATTCGGCCGGTGAAACTTGTCGATGATGTAGTATTTGACATCCTGGAAGCCAGATGCCTTGTGCTTCTTGATAAACTCCTGCGCATGAAGTTGTAGTAGACACAACAACTAGCAGAACCAGCAAAGCAATTGCAATGTAAAGCAACGAAAGCAGGAAACGGACTCCTCCAAGTGGCAGGCATCATCATGGATAATGAGGTCAACCTTCATGTTTGGCATATCGAGGACGGCTTGCAGGAGTCGAACTTTGTCGGACGACCGTTCATTTACGAGATGTTCGCAAGCCCCAAGAAGACGTTGAGAGGAAGGGTCCAAGACAAATTGCCATCCAGCAGTCCGATCGGGTAGCACCTGACGTACAGCGTCCTTCTGTTTGCAGGAGCATGTGCGTGTGAAATCACCAATGAGCTTGCGTGGCTTGCCTTTCAGTCTCACAGACCTGGGAGGGTCCACTCCTGAAAGCAGAGCACGATGAACTCCGAAGTTGCCGTCGCAGCAGACCGCGGTAACGGACGTGGGCGGCTCGAAGACATGGACGTGGGACGACGCACCGGACATGTTCACGATGGACTTCGCGGGGTACTCAAGGTTAAACTCTATGACCTTATCCGGCTCATTCTTGGCCACGGCGAAGCCCTCGAGGGCGTGCAGGAGATTATCGCGCAAGGAATGTTCTTGCCAAAACTGTAGCGGGTGGTGCGAATCTGCCAGGAGACGAACAGCGGCTTCTTGTCCAGGGGAGGTCTTGGCACGGAGTAGGCGGAGGTAGCACAGATGCAGGTACTTCATGGTGAAGCACGTCTTCTGGGTCACGAAGTAGACACCTGCTCTCTGCATCTGGTGAAAGGTCATACAGTTGATCTTCTGGCCACCCAACCAGACGAAGTTGTGACGAAGTGCACTACCACAGCTATTGCATCGTGAGGCCTGCGACCGCACCAGTGTAAGCGTTTCACTGTCAAGGCAAGTCGCCGATGCGAAGCTGTTCGTTGCCTTGGAGAAGTACAGATTACCAGAGCAGACGGGACATTTCCGACCCGGGTATTTGTACGTTCGTAGTTTGCTTGGGAGGAGCGGCATGGGAAGCGAGGTCGTTGACGAAAGCTGCAAACCTGTATACTTGAGAAGCTCGCTACAGCACAGATATGAGGCACGTGCTGAGTGTACTCGACGAAAGCATGCATCATGAGCAAAGAGTCCATTGCGCAGCACCGAAAGATCTCAACAACAGCAAGAGATATAGCAGTGCAATGCATGACCTTTTTCTTGTGCGGCGAAGTCATGATGGGGTCTGCGTGCGTGCTCCAAAGCAGTTCTGCGAAGACAGATAAGTAGCATGCGAAACCATTACGGAGGATGGTAACAGCATGGATAGTTACGGTGATCACCACGAGCAACTGCAGGGAGCACCAAGAACATCGGAAAGCTACGCGGGTTGCAAAACTGAGCATCTAGCCCTAGCAAGTGCGCTTCAGTCCATGTGCATGCCCAAACCCAGCGGATCATTCTCTTCCTCCGACACCACGTCCATCTCCTCGGAGTCGTTTGCGAAATCTGGGTTGGGAACATGCACAAGCCTTGCCGGCTCAGAAGAACGGCGTGGCGGCGTGTCCAGGTCGATGACGGACTTGGAAGCTTTCAGCTCCGTGGCCCATGTCCTAGCCTTCTTGCTCACCGCTTCTGCGTGAGCCCCCGCTTGTTCCCTCTTGATGCGCCGGTGGAGAGGCTCCGATGAGGTAGGTTCGCGGCCGAACAGAGCCTCACGAACTTGCAAGCGTTTCTGATGGTCTGGACGGCGCTCCTGTTGGCGTTTCTCAACAAGTTTCGACACCCATTCCTGCTCCCGACGCACCTGGGCGTTGAAGTCGGGAGGTAGAAGACGACCACCATCCTTGAAGACACCGTACAAGGCTTTGCCCGCATCCGTCATATACTCCGCATTTGGAATTTCGATACGAGGAATGCGATCTTGATTGATGCCAGCCTTTCTGTAGTAGATGTGCGTGTCTGTGTTTACCACGAAGACGCTTCGCTTGAAGATTGCATTCATGTGGGCTTTGGTGATGTCAGGACCGAATGCAGGCTTGATGATATTGGAGAACTCCTCGTGGGGGACACTGGGCAAGAAGCTCTCTGTTTTGACCTTGTAGTCCTCATCGAAAGTATTGTCAGCGACGGCTCGAGGCTGATTCTGTACCCATTTCACAGCACCCCAGCGTGCCCATGACATGGCCTCATATAGACCCACGTCCAGCAAGGACTTCAAGATCTTGTTTGAGAGCCACTTGATGGTCGTGTCGTCCAAGAAATCCCCCATGGCGACATGTCCCTGCTCACCACGAAGGAAATCGATTTCAGGGGTACATCTGATGCAAGGTTTTTGGCGACTGCTGAAGCGGATCTGATTGTGTCGCACCTGAGCCATCAAGACACTGCGCCCCAAAGGCGACTTCCCAGCTCCAGCTTCACCGAGAAGTACCAGGGCAGAGGTATCGAAATCCCACACCTTTTCGAAGATGTCCAGAACCCAAGTATGGTAGAAGGTGCTCGTGAATGGAATAGGCCACTCCTCAATCTTTTTAGCCAAGGCTCCGTCAGTAGCGAGATTGCGAAGGGCTTTCTCAACGAGACTGTTCGGCCAGTTGAAGATTGGAGAGCTTGTATTCTTGATTGCTTTCGTCATCCACCTCAACTGTTGCATTTCGCTAGAGGAACGAGGGCCTTCCGTGGCAATGTAGTCAAACCCCGCATCCACCTCCTCGTCCGTCTTGTCCTCAAAGCGGGTATTGGTATTCTTCGCGGCAGAGAAGGTTTGGAGGTCAAAGACTTTGAATTGATAGCACCCCAAGTTCTCAAGGGTGTATTGGAGGATCTTTTTGCCTACCTTGGGATTTGCCGCCCGCCATCTGTAGATGTGAGCCTTGCCGTATACGGAGGCCAAGAAGAAGCAGGCTTTGCACTTGCTGGCGAAGACGAAATGCTTGATGATGTAGTGTTTCTCATCCGAAGTGGGAACGATGAAGATCTGCAATTTGGTATCCTTTGGGACAGACTGTCGTGGACAAAACGGTGCGGGAAGAAGACTCAGGTCGAGGTTGAGTACGGCTAACTTGTACTTCGCTTCCAGGTCACGGAAGTCGATGGTTTCTGCGTGGCTAGGGATCACATCGAACACATGGATGGAGGGGTTATCCGAAGGACCCATCTCCTGAAGCGGAAGAGTCATTGGTGTGAAGATGCCTGCAGGCAAGTGCAGGATTGCTGGAGACGTCACCGGCCTGCAGACCATAGGGTCTACCGTCTTCTGCAGGTCCTCATAAGACAAGTCCTCTGCCGCACGTGCCATGATGCAGAAAGCAGGACAGGAAAGTGCGGGAATGATACGCTTGATGAAGAAAGGTTGCTGCTAGGACAAGACATCAATGACAGATCTCACAATACAAACTTGGAGCAACGCAGCAACATGAGCATCATGAGCAAGTGCAAGAGACGTTTTGCTGGTGTCGCGGCGTGCATACATTGACGAACTTCTGCTGGGTGATACATCTAGGACGCGTGGCGGGAATCAGTGGCGTCGCCGTCGTGACAAGAACCACGAACTGCGAACCCTTCTAGAACACCAGATGCCAAGGAGGCAAGTGCGCTCGGCTGAGGTGCGTACCTGTGCAGAAGCGAAAAAAACCAAAAACACCAAAAACACCAAAAAAACCAAAAAAAACAAAAAAACCAAAAAAACCAAAAACCAAAAAAAACAAAAGAACCGACCCCATATCACCGGGCGGCTCCGGAGGTATGGGGTTGGTTATTTTGTTTTTTTTGGTTTTTGTTTTTTTTGTTTTTTTTTGTTTTTTTTGTTTTTTTTGTTTTTTTTGGTTTTTTTGGTTTCTGAAATTACTCCATAAAACAGCAAGGCTTGTAACTTCTTACTTTTTTGTTGATCGTGCAGAACAATAGACAGACCTAGTTTTAGAGCACGGGCTTTGTTTTAGAACCGGTCTGATGTAGCTAGTAAAGTAAGTCGCTTACTTCAAACGGGACTGTTGTGGCTGGTACTGCTACTCTTGAACCTGTAAAAACTCTTGAACCTGTAAAAACTGCTTATGTATACACGCCACAACAGTCCTTTCTGTAGGGTTTAGGACGATATTTCTTATCGGATCGACTTTTCTTACAGACTGTGACTGTGGCTGCGGGATGGCTGCATGAGTATCGGATGGCGTTGTCGATTAGGGTTCAGGGAGGGTTGGGCTGTCGTCGGAGGATTTTTGTTGGCTCAGTCTTTTGCGTCTGCATCGTGTGCGTCATTGGTTAGTATAAATGTGTCGATCATGGCCTTCGGAGCGCCCATACCTTTAAGCCATAGCACGGAATAACCTACAATTCTAGGGACTGCTCATAGTAAGGGACCGTTTACATTTGGTAGTTATTCAACATTCCTCTCCTCGCAGCATGGCGACAGGGCAGGTTGTGGGGTTATCCTGATATAGTTCGGATCTCCTCATAATCCTTCCTGTCGAAGGACCTGTAGCACAGTCCCCACATACCTCCTCTGCATCGAAGTGCTGTATCATGGATTTTAGACCTTGAACCCGCAAGAGGTGCTATGAAGGGCATGTTTACATAGAGTGTATGTAGGTATTCTAAAGAATCACATTCTGGAGCCCGAAGACCCCAAAAACCTGAACTCCTCCACGCCTCGCGGCCTCATCACAGAGCAGGCTCAGAGCTTCAGGAAATGGCTGGATGACGTACAGGACTGGGTCCAGGAGGTGGTTAGCAGTACGGTGGTAGTGGTAGTGACTGGTAGTGGAAGTGGAAGAGGTAGTGGTAGTCGTAGTAGTCGTAGCCCTCCTTGTGGTAGTGACTGGTAGTGGTACGGGCAGTGGCAGTGACAGGGGGAGCGAGTTGCTTCAGCTTCTGTGCTTGAAATACAAACCCTATACTTGAAGAAATGATGGTTCGGGAGAAATGGTGTTCAGGGGAGTTCGTGACTGTAAGGTTCGTGTATGCTGAGCTCACCAATATGAATCCTGCAACTTGAAGTTTATGTCCAGGTCATAATCAGTAGACCGCATGATGTCGAGGAGATGATTCAAGAAAGGGGCGGCTACCCGCCGGCGTACGCCACTTGCTTGCAATCATTTGTCTGACTTTCTGGGTTAGCCAAGCTGATCGAGCCGTGCATGAAGAAACGCTGCTGATTCTAGGACCCAGAGTAGGCCCTTATTCCCTTTTTTAGGGTTCAGGTTCCCTTATAAGCCCCTTTAAACCAAAAACGGCACCCTTTTCATTCCTAGGTTACTCTTAGGCCTAGTGTTTAAAGTCCGTCTTTTGAGGGGCCTTTGTGTTTCGGGTGCAGGGTTGGGTTTAGTCTCCTTCGCGTGTGGAGTTTCTTTGGAGGTTCAGGGGACCTAGTCAGCGGGGTTAATAGGTACCTGAATCAGGGTTATAAGTTATAAGTACATTTAACTATGACTACCTTACTTGATCCTACTTACTAAGTCACTTGGGTGGTTGTCAAAATTAAGGTCCCTTTTGGTCCCTATTATATTACGGCACCTATTGTTTAGGGCACCCAAAAGAGAGACCCTAATTTGGACAACTAGCCACTTAGTCGACTTAGTCCCCTGAACCTCCAAGCTCCGGCATCTGCTGCGGATTTGCCCTGCTTGCACTTGCCCAGGACCTAGAGTAGGCCCTTATTCCCTTTTTAGGGTTCAGGTTCCCTTCTATATAACCCCCTTTAACTTATTCCCTTTTTTAGGGTTCAGGTTCTCTTCCAACCCCCTTTAAGCCAAAAAGGGCACCCTTTTTAGTCCTAGGTTACTCTTGGGTCTAGACTCTGAATCCTAACCCTTTAGTAAAATTTAGAACCCTAGCCTCTAGACCATGGAGTGTAGTACCTTGATTGAGCTAACTCCAAGGGTAAAAGGAGGGACCCTCAATAAGGACCCCTAGGTACATACCCTTAATATAGCTATCATATACCCATTATATAGCCCATTATAGGGTAGGGGTCCCCATTAAGGGTCCCTCCTTTTCCCCTTTGACTAACCCAGTTTCTTAGGTTACTCTTAGGTCTAGTTGCAGCTCCGGAGGTTCCTCGGACTGGCGCACTGGAGTCATGAACTTTCCTCTCCTTCCCCACCCCGACGCCCACATGTAAAGACCCTGAACCCTGAACCCGACACCCTGAACCCCAATTCCTAGACCCTAACAAGAAAGGACTTCTATAAAGCCCCAGGGCCCTGAACCCCAATTCCTAAACCCTAACAAAAACGACTTCTATAAAGCCCCAGGGCCATAAAGCTGAAAAGGTGTCCGTCCCAAGCTGTGCATCAGCCGGAACCATAAGGCTTATTGGCCGTATACTGAAAGCCCTGATCCCTTAGATATATACTTCGAACTTAGACTTGAAGCCTATATAATATAAACCCGAACTGTAAGGAGACGACCCTAGACCCTAATTTCAGCAATAGACCCTAAACCCAAGTCGAAGATCATCCTGAGTTGGACTGAGGGTTGCCTTTGCCATAGTTCGGTAACATTTTACATTTTTATGGGTACTTGAAAACAATAAGGAATAAACATGCACATGTTTAATCCTAGCCCAACAATGAACTGGCTGCCGTATTTTGAGGTGTGAGAGGCCAGAGGGTTGTCATCCGCGCCTTCTCTTGGAACGCTTCTGTTTGCACCTGCAGGCCGAAAAAGGCGCTCAACAAAAAGCCAAACCCCAAACACTAAACCCTAAACCCAACACACGAAGAAAACGCCTAAGGAGACGAACCTGCAAGTTTGGCGTCAGCTTTGGCGAGTGCTTGAGCGCTGCCATGTCGCTGTCGTGGTGTTGGATGCGCCACGCCCTCGGGTCGGTGGGTTCCCCTTAAAGGATTCAATAAGGGTTGCAATAAGAGTTTTGGGATTGGGATATCGTCTACTAGTCTACTATAAGAGTTTTGGGATTTCGATACGGAGGGTTCAGACACTGGAATTTAGGGTGGGCTTGGGGTTTAAGATCTTGAGTTTTTCGCAGGGAGTGAGGGTTTTGCAGGGTCGCTTAGAGGTTCCTTCGGTGTTACAGATTGTGATTTCTTTGCCCTGAATAATTGCAAATTACTGCTGTTCCTCACATCTCCCGGGTAGTTTTTGTACAATACCGTTACAGTATCGAACCCTCAGAATTTCAACAACCTTGCCTTACACTTTTTAGCAAGCTTCTACGCGATCTGAAAGACTCCAGAAAACAAATTCAATCACAACATATTCAAGCACTGAACCAAAAGACCCGATTCCTACACCTCACACCTAGACCCTAAAGGCGAGCCATCAACACACTAATCCCTGACCCTTGCAAGTAGTCTAGGATTCCAGCACCCTGGGTTGGCCCTTTGCACGACAAGGAGACATCCCCTCCTACACTTGCCGCCAGCGCTTCTCTCCTGCAACAAGAAGTTTGTTGAGAGGTCTTTGCTTGACCGTAAACCCTAAGCCCAACAGTGCAAGCACGGTACCGAGATTCTGGATGTCAAAGACGTCAAGGATGAGGTGACGTCGTAGGTAGGGTTATAAGTGCCTTAATTGGGGTTATAAGTAGAATCCGTAAAGTAACCCGTTACGAAGTAGCCTGATCCTTTTTAAAGTAATGTTTTCAGCTGCTAGTTGAGCTGCTTCACTTGTGGGATCAAGGGGTGTCTGTAAAATGAAGGTTTGTTTTCTTCTGGTACTGTTCATACAGGTTTAGAGTTTGGAGTTTAGGGTTCAAGGTTTTTGGGTGCGAATCTGGCAAGCTAGCAGCTAAACATTTGGGTCCGCAGAATACCGACACTTCCTCAGAGTGTCTATCGAGCCGGAGGGATGTATCCCGCTTAGAATATGTGCGTGAAGCGCGCAATTCGCCGGTCAGGCAAGCAAATCCCATGCTTGAAAAGCTTCATCTGCATGGATTGCTTCCACGGCCCGTTCGGCGGCGGGAAGATTCACCAGAGTTGCCAGGAGTGCCTCAATAACGTTCGTAAGCAGGGCAGCAGGCAAGATGACCACAGTTGTATTTTCTTTAAGCCCCAATCAAGGTACGCATACCCCTGCTGCTAAAGTCTCTTACATCCCAAACCCTAAACCATACCCTTACTTATTCAGTCCTTTGAAGCGTTTTAAGTTCCTCTATATCGGCCATCTGAGAGTCTCACGATGCTCGTAGTCCGGTCGTCGTGCTAAATGGTCCAAGGCAGGTTGCTGCAAAACTCTGAACTGTATGCTTTCAACCCCAAGCCCTAAAGCCTAACTGCCTGGGTATTAGGGTTTAGGGTTTCCGTGACTAAATCCTACTGCAACCTCAACGGTAAACCCTGAGCTCTGACCTGATTCCTGATCTTCGCTTCCGAGATTCCTTAGGGGTACTTAGAAATAGTTTTTATTTTTTGGTTATTATAATCCCTAAGAAACAGCTAGAACTGTAATTTTTGCTAGGGTTTTGAGTTCAGTATAGATTCCGGGCTCATGAAGTCCCTGGTCCCAGCGACTCCGAGATACCCCCACGAATACTTGGAAGGCCCTCGTACTTTAAGGAATATTCCTCAACAAGCCTTGACGTAACCCTTTTAAGACCCTATAAAGCCGTATAATTTCGGATAGTTTAAGGTGCATTTTGCAATCTGAACAAGATTGGGCGACATGTGGGACATTGCAACGTGCTGCAAATGCCCGCTCCAACCACTCGCCTCTAGCACAACTGACACTGATCTCCACTGACTTTGTTGTCCAGCAGATGGCCAAGCAAATTTTCTGCCAGGCATCGTGGAAACAGCAGCAAAGCCCCAGACAGGGCAGACAAACACCCTGAAACAGTCTGTTGGTGGGGCGATAAAGAACCTACATTTTCAGGGCTCCTTAGTATGGTTTCCTTGCTTCTGTCGTTAAAAGGGTAGGTTGCCGTACGTGTTAAACCATAAACCCGAACTGCCTCAGGAGTTACGGGCTTTTGGCGTCTCGTGTTTGAGTTTGGGGCTGCGCTTTGTGTCCGTAAGATCAACCCTGACAGCTTATTACTTATGGCTGTTTCTTTAACAGTGATCTCCCAAAGTTATATTCGTGCGTACCCTTTAGCGAGCTGAGAATTGTTGGTTGGTCATGCTGTCAAGCAATTTTCTTTACTACGGTTCAACCAACAAATGCACCCCCAAAACCTTTAGGATCGAGGTTCCAGCGTGCCTCTGAATTGTAAAGTTTAGGGTTTGCACTTTCGGGTATGTGGTGTGGCGGTGTGGTGTTCAGGGTTGCGGTTGAGGGGTTTATTGCTCCAAGCTTGACCCTCGAACCCCGGACCCGAATTATGACCCTGACTCCGAACACTACGGTTGATTGATGGTATAAATCCTGCATTACCCATAATAAGGAATATGCCGTAACTCCCATAGTGTAGGGTCCTTAAGCTAATGCAGGATTTAGACCATCAACCTTATGGTTCAGTCTACTTGTAATCCCAGCTCATACTAGTTACTCCCAATCCTGTTGAATGACTTCCCTGTGCCCTTAAACCCTGAACCCTGAACCCAGGCTGGTCTACCATGTAAACCGCACTTTGCGCAAGCCTCTCGTTGTGGCTCCGCCCTCAGCCATGGACTGTCAGGTGTAATGTAAGGGTCCTCACGCATAGAATGGGGTTCCTGAAAGGGGGCTATATCACAGGGAGGGTGTTGCAGAGTTATAATACAGGGGGAGTCAACAACTAGAGCAGGTCTATGATGCTATAAGGCAAAACCCTCCACATCAACATTCCAATTCTCTCCAGCCGGGAAGCCGAGAGAGTACTGGGCTTTTGGGTTTAGTGCGTAGGAAGCAAGTGCAGGTGGGACTGGCGCAAGGGGTCTGGGGTTAAAGGTTAACGAGCTTCAAAGCTGCGTCGCAGAACTGCCGAAAACTGTGCGCAGCACTGCGCTGACGTGAGAGCGTTCAGTGCTTCACAAGGTAGGTCTAGTGGCTCTATGCATCCTACAAAGGACTAGTTACAAGGAAGTTTTACGAGGCTTCAAGGAATCAAAACGAGGTCGTTTGTTTTCATGGTTTAGGGCGTGGGCTGGCTCAGGATTTGGTTTGACTCTTTCGGGGGTTAAGGTTGGTCGGTTGGAGTTTCAGTGTTTCGTATTTACGTCTTCATCAGGGAGTCTTGGACATAACTACCTACTACCTAGTACTGTAGCTCAGTAGGTAACCGTTAAACTTTTCGCACCTCTACCACCCACCTTGATGAGCTCTTCTTTGGACTTCTTTGTACTGCAGCGGAACTAGGCTTTAGGGGTTTAGGGTTTTGGGGGTTACAAACTTGAGGAATAACAGTTAGGCTTATCAGAAAGCTCCGCGATCAGTGAGATGTCGGAAGTTGATTCGGTGGTTATCCCGTAATTAATTACTGGGGCTAGCCTGAGGGTTTCATAGATCTGAATTTCAACTCTATGTCCGGTCTGTCTTGTTTTGAGGCTTGTTTGCGGTCCCAAGGTTTATGCCGTAGTTGGGTCTGTGGGGTTTTCGGCTTTAGGGCTCTGAGGCTTGCTTTGGGGTCTTGAGGCTTCTGGTTTACCTTGGGTTTGGGGAGTTTTATCGGCAAAGTTTAGGGCTTTCTAAGGTTGACCTAAACCCCTAAACCCCCTAAGCCCGAGACCCTAAAGCCTTAAACCCTAAAGCCGAAGAGCCCCGCATCCTCTGCGTTGACAACTCGAAGGTGGGTCTCGTAAGGGGCCTAAACAATTAGAATAGGATTTTTGGGCCCCTTATGCTGTGATTATAATATGGAACCCCCCAAAATAGTATTGGTAATTGTTGAGGCCTTTATAGTAGCTTCCTTTCAAGCTTTGTTGCGCTGGGGTTTTAACGGGGATTCTGAGGTCCTGGTGTGGTTTACAAAGGGTGTGGTACGATGCCCTAAACCCTAAACCCCTAAACCCCAAACCCTGAACCCTAAGCCTTAAAACCCTAAGCCCCAAAACCCCTAAGCCCCTAAACCCCAATCCCTTCTCAGGTCATGAACAAACTGGATGCCGTCGAGCCGGAAAATGCTGTGAGCTGGGCCAAGGCAACTGCGTTTTGGGCGCGGGGCTGCGGGGGGGGGGGGGGGGGGGGGGTTGGGTTTAGGGCTGGGCAGTTCGACGCAAACTTTTGGAGCCATTGAGTTTTGAGTTTCACGGCTTAGGATTTAGGGGAGCTTCCATGCCCGCGCACACGGCTTTTGACATCACAGGGCACTTCTGCAGCAACTCTACTTCTCTCGCGTGTGCGCTGTTCTGTCAGGTCAATCTGCTGTACTACGTTTAGCAAGAACCAGCGAACCCCTTATGAAACCTTTTTCTGAAACAACCTTATAACCTCATACAGGCCCAGTCAAACTCTATAACACTCTTGTAAACGCTTGTAACCTGACGAAGCCCTCATGAAATGCTCCCAAACCGTATAAGACCCTGAACACGTTATGATGAATACCAAATAAAAAACCCTAGAAGCCCATTATACAAAAACTCCGAAACAAAAACATGATCCCAAACCCCAAACCCCTTGTAGAACATCAACCCTTTACAAACTTTACTAACAGCTACAGCCCTTAACCCCGAACCCAAAACCTCTAGCCTCAAACCCTAAACAACTAAAAAGCTATGCCCGTCCGGAAACCTTAGATGGAAGACCTGACAGCAACCCTTAAGCTTAGATTTCCAATGCCCAACCTTTAAGCTTTTTGGGTTCTTATGGTCTACTAGGAATCGGAAATTTGGACCTTGTATTATTTCTGGGCCTTATTGGTGGAGTAAGAACCCTTAAACGAAACCCGAGAGAATCCGAACCTGCGCGAGTGGAGCAGAGGCGCTGGCGGACGTCCCTGGAATCTCCAACATTCTCGGATTTTCGACGCTCTGAAGAATTTAGGGGACCTCCCAGAGACTCCAATAATTCCAATATCCCTTAATTGAGGAATATGCCTTAAATCATATAAGGGATCCTACCATAATTTAAGGAATATTCCTTAATTAAGGGATATTGGAGTCTCTGACCTTTCCGGAGGACTTAGGGTTTAAAATTTTAGGAAGGTGCCTTCAAGCCTCTCTGTGCTGTACTTAAAGGGTTCCTGAATCCGGTTTTGGGTGTGAGGGTTTAGGGCTTTACGGTTCTTGGGGAGCTTGGGCCTCTTGCGGGTTGAACACCCGAAACCCTGTGAAATGTTAAGCCCGATCTCATTCTAAGAGCTTTTGGGCTTTCTGCCGGCAAACCTCGAACCCTTAATCCCAAAGACCTAAACCGTAAACCTCCAAGCCCAAACTCTTGAACCCTGAACTCTGAGGGTTATTTGCTAGCGCTTTTTCGGCGAAAGGGTGCAGTTCAACTTTAGCAAAAAAAACTCTGAGGGTTTAAGCAGCGCCAAGAAGCACTGCCCTGAGGAAGGAAGACTTGCGCGAGCGTGCTTTCAGCGGCCTCCGCATAGGCTTCTTGCACTGTTTAGGGGGGGGGGGGCGGGTGGGGCTGTTGTTTTCCTTTCAGGGTTCGTATGAGGGCTTCCTATTTAAGGGTTTACGTTGTAGGGCTTAGGAGTTCCGTTCCGTCTGTGGGATTTCGGGTTGGCGCTTCGGAGTTTTGGGTTTTAGCCTGTGTTGTACGGGTGTTTCGGGCACGTTGCAGTAACATAGGGGCCTTACTAATTGGGCTCCTTATACTATACTTCTAGCAAGGAACCCCCAAAATAGAATACTAGGTAATTATTAAGGCCCCCATATTAACACTGTCTCTGCAGCAGTCTTGTGCGCTTGGAGTAATACAGGGGTCTGAATAATCAGCTTGTACTCTGTATATACCAGTGCCAGAAAATACACCCAAATCCTACTCTGATCAGTACGTCTGAAAGCAGGCAAACGACTAAAGAAAAAACTAAGGCAGTCTAAGCCCTACCGTAAGACCCTAAAATATTTCCAGGCTGCTCAGTGGTACACTTTTTTACTTTCAGGTTTCTGGGTTCCTATTATAAAATAGGAAGCCTAAAAAAGTATATACTTTTCCCATCTGGGTTACTGAACAGCCTAGATTTTAAACCCTAGTTTATGATATATATATATATATATATATATAGATACATATATATATATATATATATAACCTGCCTGGATATGACATACTAGCCTGCTTGTCGGGCAGGACGTGCTGAGTGATGAGACGGATCCGAGTAGTGTCAGGTTAGGGACCCAAAAAGCACATAAGCATAAGCATTTTACAGGGATATCCCTACCTTCTTGGGCTTCCTTTTAAGGTGGGTTTATATGGGATATCCCTCTCCTAATTTTTGCTTATGTGCGTTTTCGGGGCCCCAGAGAGTGCCAGTGTTCGAAGCTGCCCGAAGGGTTTTTTTTACATCGAAGATGCCACAGAAATAGAGCTTCCGAAGCAAGGGATTCCAATATAGAACCCTAAGTGGTCGCATCCTTGTCGCTTAAGGACGCTAAAGTAAGGTTGTAAGAATCTCCTGTCTGAGGTTAGAACTTTTGGTGAGTGTATGTTTCGATTGTTAGAGGGATACCGGTAAGAGAAACTCTGCATCACATCGAGTGGCTACATAAGCCCTCCACCTTCACCACAAACCCTAAACCCGAAACCCTACACCCTAAACCCCCTACACCCTAAACCCCAAACCTCTAAACCCCTAAACCCTAAACCCGCAACCCCGAACTCCAAGTCCTGAGGCCCCTTCTGGTTGTAACGGAGATACGACAATCCCAGCGACCGAACTCCTGACTGTGAGCCTCCCTGACAATCAAGTGCAGGCTTGCTCGTCTGTTGTAACCCCTAAGCTTCCTTATGCCAACCTTGGGGTGAAGCCTGTCCGCAGAACAGAGCTCAGCAATCCCCTGGGTTTAGCAGGCTTGGACATGCTTGGGAGGGACTTATCAGGCAGATGTCTATGAGAGATGCAGGGAATGAACGCAGCAAGTAAAAAACATCGCGAAAAAAAGGGAGTAAGGAATCCCAAGTTCTGCAAGTGCAGGACAAATTGAAAGATACGGCGAAGGCATGGGCCGAGGATCGCGTGAACGGCGCCAAGACAGAGGAGGAAGTCATTGCAGAGAGCAAACGTCTTAAGGCGGCGGCCGAGTATTAGAGACGCATGTCCGAAAGAGGGCAAATATGGGACTTTCCGAAAATTAGGGGCACCTTATCTGGTCCTTATAACAAGGATCCTACCATTTAGGGTACTAAATTAGGGTCCCCTATTTTCGGAAATCCCCACATGATGCTCCAGAGTTTCTCGAGCAGATCGACCAATTCAAAGCTCGCCTGCTGAGGACGATTTAGGGTTTAGGGGGTTAACCCCAAACAGAAAGCCCTAAACTTTAAGCACTACCTACACCCTAAACCCCAAACACTACACCCTAAACCCTAAACACTACACCCCAAACCCTACGTGTCGTGGTGTTTCCGCGCCCAAGGCAAGGCCGCCTTGATCGAGGTCTGTCACGAGGCGGGAGCTGTCTAAGCAGTCCGGGGCAGTATTCGGGAGACCCCTTGAAGGGAAACCTTCTTAGCCCGAGTTCCCAGGAACTCCACTATCCCGGAATTAATGAATATTCCTTAAATCATAGTAGGAATCCTACTATAGTTTACGGTATACTCCTTAATTAAGGGATATTGGAGTCGTACTGTAATGCTTGGGGCGGCTGTGTCCCCCGCATGGCTTGCTCACTGTACTCAGGCTGATCCGGCTCACTTTGCCTCCCCGTGTTGTGGCAAGCCAAGGGCGTCCTGGTACCACACGGCGTGGTACTGCCCTGCGCGATCTAAGGTCACGATTCCGCCCAACATCTTCCAGCGAAGATTTGGGTGGCCACTCACGTCTCAATCTAAGGACATGGCGCGCGCCATCTTGGAGCATATGGCTACAGACCTGGAATTATGCGTCTATGCAGCCTATGCAGCACGAATGTCTTCTTGGGCCCCCGGGGCTGAATTATGCCTTCGACTCAAAGAGTGCGCAGGCACTCATGAGTGAGATAGCCGCGCTCGTGCCCGTGGGGACGACCTTCGGGGAGATCTCCTCTGGCACGTTCAACAAATATAAATATATATATATATATATATATATAGGGATATTGGAGTCTCTGGGTTCTGGCTCTCTTGAAAGGGACCTTATCTCCAAGGGTCCCCTTAATCCTAACTCCTATACAGGGACGATGATTTTAAGGAGGGTTCCTGTAAGGGTATACTAGGTATCGATTAGGGATCGGTTTTGATTTCCTGTATTGATACATACACAGCTCTAATCTTAAATGATTCTGGGTGACTGTTGAAATCGGCACCTGCTTGTACAATAGGAGCCTGAATAGCCAGGGATGCTATTCTCCATGGCTTCTTAATACAGCCACCTTTGCGCATTCCCACATAGCTAAGTACCCCCTCAAACCCCTTCCAGTAAATCAGTGGCAGTTTGAGAAACTATGGCATGGGGAGGTACTGTAGAAATCTGCAGATATACGACGAGAGGTGCTCTAGAAGCCTGAATGGTTCGTGATACTTTGAATTCTTGCCACAACTGCACTATAGTATACTCCCGCACCCTCTTCTGGTTAGTACCGCTCCTCAAGGGGGACAGGTAGGTATAGAGGGTATAGAAGTTGCGGGTGCCGAAACCCGCAAGATTAAGAGCTCAGTCGACGGGTTTACTAGGTAGGGCTTTGGGACATGTTATGTTTGCTCTCATTGGGCTTAAGAGGATCTTACCTGCTGATATTTTTCAGAGGCGTTACAAGTACCTCCTAGTTTAGAGATCCGGACTTTAGGGCTTAGTAGGGATTAGGGTTCCCATAATAGGGTTCATATTAAGGAATCCCTACCCCAAGAATCTTAAACCCCCCTTGTGGCCTCCCATCATTTAGAAACTTTAGGGTTTAGGGATTTAGACTTGATCCAAGGGTAAAAGGAGGGACCCTTAACAAGGATAAAATAGCTATTATATACCATTATATAGCCCATTATAGGGTAGGGGTCCCCATTAAGGGTCCCTCCTTTTCCCCTTTGATTAACGGAACCTTAAACTTAAACCCTAAACCCCTAAGGACCCCTTAAAGGAACCCTAACGATCCCTTATAGGAACCCTTAAGGGTCCCCCATATAGGGTCCCTCCTTTTCCCCTTTGACCTGAGCTAGGATGTTAGGGTTCAGGCTTGAGAACTTCGGATGTTAGGACGTTAGGATATACCTGGAGGATTAGTAGGTGAGGCAGGGTTCCTAGGGTGCCTTTAAAGGGGTTACTATAAGGGATACCATAAGGGTACTAGAATATACCTAAAGGATCATGGGACTTAGTAACTATAGTTATAAGTCCCTTAATTGGGGTTATAAGTATTTTTACGTATAGTTACTCCAATAATAACCCTAGTTACTAAGTCCCATGATCCTTTAAGTAGGGTTTAATGTTTAGTTAATGTTTAGACTTTAGAGCTTAGGCTTTAGACTTTTGGATCCTGTGGGACTTGGGGTTTCGGGTTTAGGGGTTTAGAGATTTTATGGTTTCGGGTTTAGGGGTTCAGGGGTTTAGGGGTTTAGGGGTTTAGGGTTTAGGGTTTAGGGTAGGGTTCTTGGAACTATGAGTGAGGGAATGGTTGTTTCAGCTGCACGGCCTTATAAGGCTGCGGAGGGTTTTGATTTGTGGTTTGTCGAAAAGCCCTGAACCCTAAATCCCACACCCCTAAACGCGAAGCCCGAAAAAAAAAGTACGCCAGGCCTACACCGAGCACTTGGCGAAGAATCCTGCGGCCAAAGCCGAAGCAGAAGCGGCGAGAGCCAGGGACCAGGCAGTCTTTCCGAGGGTTCTTCTGAGGTTAAGAGTGTTGTAGGATTTAGAACTGAGGGTTTAGACTTTGGGATCTTAGGGGGTGGGGTTTAGGGTTTAGGGGTTTAGGGTTTGGGGGTTTAGGGGTTTAGGGGTTTAGGGTTTAGGAGTTTAGGGTTTAGGAGTTTAGGGTTTAGGGGTTTAGGTTGTAGGGGTTTAGGGTTTTAGGGCTCCTGGAAGGGCCTCGTGCTCCTATGAGGGCTCGGCGTTCCTTTTTGGAGCTCCTTGAAGGGTCTCGATTAAGGTATACTCAGCGTTCGGGCTCCTTTAAATCTATTTAAGGGCTCCTGTAAGGATCGCATTTTCATGGTGCCTGTGAGGGTGCCTTTTAAGGGTTCCTTCTTGGTGTCGGGCTGTGAAGGGATCCTATAAGGGTTCCTTTCAAGGTTCGTTCCAGGGTTTCCTTCAAGGGTCATTTTGTGTTTCTTCGGGGTTCAGATTTAGGGTCAATAGTTTAGGGTTCAGGGTTTGGGGGGCCAAGGAATTAGTTGCCCTTGCAAGGGAACTAGTCGCCCTTGGGAGGCATCTCGCAACTAACATCAGAATTGTTATTGTATTAGTGTTGTTGTTTTCTTATTGTTGCGGCAAGTTGTTGCGAAGACTAAACTTAACTTTTTAGCACGAAGGCACTGAAGGTTCACCCCACATGCCCTACAGATTAGCTGTCCTAAGGGGTTTGAGCAGCTAGCGTGAGCCGTTACTAACCTTTCGCAAGCTGGGTTACCTTGACCCTGGTCTTCTTTACACTGGCAAACGTGCCCCGGAGACGATCGGCGCACTAAGAGAGCGGGTCAACTATCAGGTCATGCACTGGACGGACAAGCTGAGCTCATGCCTTTCGACGGCGAAGAACCCCGAAAGAACTTGGCGGCGCGCGGTGTGGCTCTATCGTGACGAGATTGCTCGCGACTCCACGCCTTCTGTCCAACTGAGCTAGGACGACTCGGGGGGTCTCTGCCCCGCCAGGGTTGGAGATTGTCCTCACTCTTCACCACCTTTCAGCGCCAGATGGCTGCCATGTATCTTCAACGGCACAAGGAGTTGGCCAAACGATCCGTCCGTGAACGGTTCTACCTATGCCAACCTGAGACGTGGGACATGAGCCAGGATGAGGTTTGCAGTTCAGGAAGTTGCTTTCACCTCGGACTAGTCAATATCGCCCATGCGTTTCCGTGGCCATCTCAATTTAGAACCCAAGTTCGGTCCACCTCGTACCAGACAGCTGTTAAAAAAGCTATGAGGGGCCTCGGCTTGAGAGACCTGTTAAGAAGTAGAACCCTGGTCGGAAGGTGCCAGATCCGGACCCCGACCCGACCGAAGCAGACGTCGAGGACGGAGCTGACTTTTTTCGATGGCTGGAGAGTACTATAGGGGCCTAAGTAGTAATCCTAGGGTTCCCTTTTAAAGTGATCCTTAAAAGGGTCTACAAGGGATCGATAATAGGGTTCGTTCTATACTATGGGCCTTAATGATAACCTCTACTATTTCGATGGTTCCTCATCATAGTTATAGTATAATGGGCCCGAAACACCATTCCAAATACTAAGGCCCCCTTAGTGCTGTAGTCAAAGGCTGCAAAGGTGGGATGAAGGTAGTAGGTGGGGTAATCCCAACATAAGAGTCTGGAAAAAGGGATCCTTAATCCGCCTTATTTTCATCCCGCCTCTGAAAGCTTCCAATGCAGATAACTGTAAACGACTTTGGATGCCTAGGACTCGATTGAAAAATCGTACGTGGCCCAAGGCTCATATCTCCTTAATTAATCGAGTGATCCCTGCTTTAAGGACCCCTGTAACCCGAAACGAGCCCCGGAGCCGCGAGTGTTATAAGGAGGCCCGTGTGTTATAAGGCTTGTTTGCTTAAAGCTAAAAGGCTGCTCTATAAGCAGGTGTCTCGAAAGTGCAGTCCTTCGGGGTTTAGGATTTCGGGTTTAGGGGGCCGCATGTCAGAGTCAGAGTGGGCAGCAGTGCAGGAGACTTCTGCAAGAAGTCACATCCGGTGGCTAGGGTTTCATAAAATGCAGCTGCATGTTGAATCTTCCTTCGACATCCCACGCCAGAAAACCTTTCGTCCCAAGCCCTTGACCTAAACTTGCTCAGTGCTCTCACTCTCGATTCTTGAAGCTCTAAATAAATCCTGAGTCCCCAAGCCCTCAAGAACGAAATTTCAAGAGCTACGGCGTGGGGTTTAGGATTTGCATAGCTTTTGCCCCAAACGTTAAACACCGGAGCCTTGAATCCCGAAAAATCCGTAAGAACCCCCTGCCTCGACTGGTCTTATGCTGAGGAACCCATCAAAAAGAAGCCCTCTCCCTCAGAGACAGAGAGAGGTTCAAAATAGATTTTGTGTTTGCGTACCTAAGCGGTCTCAATCAGCATAGCCATGAAGCCGTACAAGATTGTAAGAAACAAGAAATTGGAACCTTGCAAGAACACTAAACCCAAACTCAAACTGTCAAACCTTAATCTGCAACCCTAGACCGACAAGAACCCTCCAAGACCCTGTAAACCCCAGACCAAAGACCCAGAGACTCCAGAATCCCTTAGTTAAGGAATATTCCTTAAATCATATTAGAGATCCCACTATAATTTAAGGTATATTCCTTAATTAAGTGATATTGGAGTCTCTGGGAAAGGACGCCGACTTTTCAGCTGCCTCGAGTTTCAATGGCGCCCGTCCTGGGTTCTTCTTTGGCACAGGCAGGTTGAAATCCTGAACCTCAAGTGTTTAGTAGTCCCAAAAAAAACCCGAGAGCCTACTAAGCCCGATGCCCTCAAGCCAAAGGCATAAACCGTGACGGCCTAGGGAAGATGTCCGGAGTCAGGGGTTCTACAGTGCATGATTTGCAAAGTAGGGTACACCAAGTCATGCTCAAGGTGCCCTGCATGTTCACCCGGCCATTTTACAACTTAAAACTTGGGATAGAGGTTTAGGGTTTCAGACTCTCATGTAGGCTATACTCGAAGAAGAAGCTCGGGGCCCGTTATAACGCGCAACAAAACGTACCGAACTTCAGAACACCGACGACAAAGCTAAGATCCGTGTTCGTTCATGTTCGCTACCCAGGACTTTAAGCAGGCCTTCGTTCAAGATGCTTTTTATTATAATCGCGGTACTTATCCTTCGCACGTGCCAGAAACTCAACAAATACGTGGCTGACATAGGCTTCCTGAGTTCACTGATCGGTGGTTTAGTGGTTACCTGATTTGGAGCTTCCGGGCTCGGTTATCTCTTGGTTTTGTTTCGTTTTGTCTCTCTCTCTCTCCCTCTCTCTCTCTCTCTCTCTCTCTCCCTCTCTCCCTCTCCCCCTCTCTCTCTCTCTCTCTCTCTCTCTCTTTCCCTCTGCCTTTTCCTCTCTATCCCTCTCGATTGTGCTTTCTTCGCGTTTCTTAGCCAGGAGGTACTTGAAGCATGCTGGTAAGTACTCGTCGTTATAACTATATTCGTTATCCATAGAAATTCGGTAGAGGAGGAGGAAGAGGAGGAGGAAGAGGAGGAGGAGGAGACCACTGTCGATAAACTGTTTCTGGGTTGTACGCAATGCGACTGAAATACTGTACCTTAAAGGTTAACATCTTTGGGCCGCGGAACTCAACCATGGAAAAGGCTGAGGTTTTCTTGCGGCCTGGTTACTGAGAGAGAGAGAGCGAGAGACAGAGTCGGAGTCCTTATAGATCGCGAAAACCTTGAACAAGTCGACTTTTCATAACCCCATGTGAAAAGCCTCATAAAGATTCCATTAAACCCTTGTAGTTTCCTCGTGTGGTCAACATTAAGGTCCCTTTTTGGGGGTCCCTATTATAATAAGGCACCTAATATTTAGGGCACCCAAAAAGGGACCCTAATTTTGACAACCTTATAGGAGCCCTATAGATCCCTTTAAAAGAACCCTTAAAGCAGCCCTTATAGAAGCCCTATAGATCCCTTTAAAGGACAACCACCCAGCTGTAAAGCGCTTGAGGAAGCCTTTTGCTTCGGAACTTCGATCTCCCCTCAGAGAAAGCCCAGAAAGTCCTTACGGAAGCCTTGTAACTAAGACCATCATCGGGTTTAACCCTTATGGGAGTTTCTGAAAATTAGGGGTAATTAAATTTGGGGGTTTTGATAATAAGGATCCTACTAAATAGGGTACTATGTTAGGGTCGCCTATTTCCGGAAACCCCCTTATGGAATCCTTAGGATTTGGAAACCTTCTAACTCCTTGCAAGACCCTACAAAAAAGCTTATGGAAGCCTCATAGTGTGGAACCGTGATGAAACCCGGTAAAGGCCATAAAGCGCCTCTGGAAGCCGTAACGTCTGGAATCCCATGAACCTCCCGCAAAACCCTATAATTCCCTGCCCTTATGAATCCCTCTAAACCCTTACACACCTGTAGAAAGCCCGCATGGAAGCTTTATGACGCCTTTTACAAACCCTAAACCCTAAAAACGGTTGCGCGTCAGTTCGAGGAGGTTTCCTTTAACATATGGGTGGTTGTCAAAATTAGGGTTCCTTTATGGGTAACCTAAATAATAGGTGCCGTACTATAATAGGGACCCAAAAAGGGACCATCATGTTGACAACCACCCATATGTGGCCGAATGTTGACACCATGCTCTGTGTAGGCTGCTGCATGGGTTTCGGGGTTTCCTGAACCTCGAAAGAAACGTACATTTGTGAGGACTCCCTACCTACCTTGATGTACTTATATGTTTTCTTTGCTGAAAGAAGTGAGCTTTCTGGGGTTCAGTTAGGGTGTCGGTGCCGGGTTTGGGTTTCGGGATTCTGGGTTTGAAACATTGGGTCGCAAGGGTTCGTAGCTTAAGGTTTACGGTTTTGGTGCCTAGGCAGCCCAAATCGCAAACTTTAACGCGAAAAGGCCTTCAACCGCGAGTTACCATAATAGGATGCCATCTTATTTACTAAAAGTCCTCTTATGGTAGCTCAAGATTAATTTCCCTAACATGGACCCCCATAAACCCAAAACAGTCCGGCCGAGCTACGGGCTGTGTAAGCCCTGCTGACGAGGCGTCCAGGGGACAGGCTACTACCGAGACACGAAGGCGTGGCGATGGATAGTTTCCCTCAACGGCTTGTGGCTTCGGGGGTTGAGGCTTTAGGGGTTAAGGGTTTAGGTCAAGGTTGAGTGATCTTTCTTGGGTTGACGAGCTAGCGAAGAGCCCACCCACAAGCTCTCAAGAAGGAGACCTGATGGCAATACACTCTTCTCTAACTGTGAGGATGATTCCGTCAAGGGCCACACCCTCAAAACTCAGGTAGAAGGGGTTCCCTTACATATGAGTGGTCCTTAAACCACAAGAAAAGCCTTCGATAGTTAAGGAATATGCGGGCACTTGAAGGAGCTAAACCCTTATTTTTAAACCCTAAACCATCCTAAACCCTCAGCCCCTAAACCCCTAAACCCCCAAACCACTAAACCCCAAACGCGTTCCCCAAAGCCTCCTGCAGCCTAAACCCCATCCAAACCTAAAGCTTCACCAGCTCTAAAATCCAGATGCGGGGCTTCAGCTTTGAAGGTTTAGGGCCATGTTTTGAGGCTTTAGGGTTGAGGGCCGTTGTTTGAGTTCTGAGTTTCAGGATTTCGGTTTTCACCCAAACGCCCCAAAGTAGTTCCTTTTTGTGGTTCCTACATAGAATTCTATAAGGTAGTCCCAAAAAGGAACTACTATGGGGCCTATGGGCAGGTCCAGGTTGAGTTCGCCGAACGTGACGAGGCAAATGCAAAGACAGCGGCGCCCGCCAGGGCACGTGCTCCCGCGGGCGGCTATGCTCCGGCAGCTTGGACCCACATGCCGGAAGACCTCAAGTGTTTGAGGTTTAGGATAGAGTCTATAGGGTTTAGGGTCGGTGTCTAGCTTTTGGGGTTTGGGGTTAAAGCCCAATACTGTCCACCAGACTCTAGTCTAAACCCTAAACACCCAAAGCCCGAAGCCATTCACGCGCCCGTGGGTATGTACACCCTTAACCCTAAAACTTAGCCTAAGCCGTAGACGCCCAAGACCTGGCCAGCATTCGGTGTCGACACTGTCGGGGAGCTGTCGTGGTTTTGGGTTTAAGGTTTATAATACGGTTTACTTAGTAACTGAGGGGATACACTTTACACTTTTTGGGATAGTATTACCCACCATAAAACTAAAAGTGTAGACTTTTGGGGGCTCATGAACTCAGCAACTAAGTTAAGGGGGTTAAGATGTAGGGTTTAGGCCCTAAACCCTAAACCCTAAACCGGGGTGCAGGGACCAGGCGGGACAAAATTGCGGGGCTTCTGGAGTCTGGAAAAACGCTTGTTGAGGAAAATGGAACCTAGCATGCAGGATTGTGAGTTTGGTTATAAGGGCTATATATATATATATGTATATATATATATATACATATATATATATATACTGTTGAGGTAACTATGAGTCTACTCGCATCTACCCATGAACTTTCAGGTACGCCTACAAATTCGCGGTTCGGGTGGCTGTAGGATGTTCCATGTTTTCTTCTCTTGGTCCAGAAACCTCAGACAGCTTGCTCTCAGCGTCTGAAGGGTTTCAGGTTGAGAGCTTGGGTTTAGAATAGTAAACATTTGAAGCCTGGCGTTGAGAATCAATAGAACTCCAGATCCAACCCCTGAAGCCTTTACTTTGCCTGAGACAGCAGTTCCTGCAAAATTGAAAGTAGGCATGTGAGCTGGGCACCGCAGCGTACGTCCCCAAACGCGTCTAGGGTTTAAAGTTCGGGTTTTAGCATTTAACCATTACTGTGCTTAAATCCAATCCCTCAGCCGGCAACCCTAAGAGGGTAAGTCTTACGAGCTCCCGACCCGTAAGCTCAACAGCTCGAGTAGATGTGGTACCTGTGGTCAAGACGAGATCCAACTTCTAGGGTGCTACGGGGTTAGGTGTAGGGTTTCGGGTTTCAGGATTTGCCGTTTTGGGTACTTTTGCTGCAAGCAACTCTGCGGCTGCTCAAAACCAGAAAGCTTTCAACAACAGTTGCATAGCCCTCAAAGAGAACCTTCTCAAGCCCGTATGCCTCCACCGAACAGCCTGTACATCCTTTTCTCGAACCTTTCAGAAGCTCCGCGGACACAGTGCACCTCCAAGATTTGGAACACGAGTCCAGGACGATCAGTGCGGGGGTTCCCCACCCTAACTGTGTACATCCTCAAAAGCCGGAGTGCCTCCTCCAAAATTACTGTAAGGCCTTATTGAGCCCTCAACACTTGGAGGTTCAGGGGGACTTCAAGAGTAAGAAAGGTTATGACAAAGGTACCGGTGGTTATCTCTACTTATAACCTCAAATGAGGTACCTATACCCCCCACTTACTATCTCTCCTGATCCTCCAAGTAGCCTCGCAAGGCCCAAAAGCTGATCACGCAGAACTATAGAAGCCGAAATAATTACCAATATTATTCCTTAGGGTTCCTTATTATAAGTATATTTTTAAAGGAGCCCAAACCCCTATTCTACTCATTAAGGCCCCCTAATTATACCCAAACCATGTTATAAAGGAGCCCAGAACCCTATTCCACTCATCAAGGCCCCGTGCATTAGAGGCCATCCCGGCAGCGGCTGGCTCCGGAGCTGGGCCAGAAGACCTGGCGATTCCGGACGGGAGCCGCTGGGCCAGAAGCATTCGGCTTGAGGGTGCAGGATTTAGGGTTTAGGATTTAAGAGTTTAGGGTTTAGGGTTGAGGGTTTAGGGTTTAGGGTTTGTGTCTAATCAAGAGGCCTACATGATTAGCTATACTATTTTGGGGGGGTTCCTTATTATAGTTATGGTATAGTATACCCCCAAGCCTTATTCTAGGTCTTAAGGAAACCCCTCTAATAGTGATGGCTTTATGTCTAGTACCTCTATAGAGCCCTGAACGAATCCTGAATCCCTGCTTGGAGGGTCGGGGACTTAGTAACTGGATATTTTACAGACTCATAGTAAGTACCATAACCCCAATTAGGGCCCCTTTTAGAGTACTTATAAGTCTACTTACTACCTACTTACTAAGTCCCCCAACCCTCCAAGTGATGCCTCGAATCTCCGCAACTTGCCAGACGACAGCTCGTCTAGGCCCTGCGCCCAAACGCTACTTCGGTGGTTGTCAAAAGTATGGTCCCTTGTGGGTACCCTAAACATTAGGTGCCGTACTATGTTAGGGACCCACAAAGGGACCATAATTTTGACAACCACCCACTTAGAGGATCAGGGGATTCAGTAAGCCGAAGTACGAGGCTATAGGTACCTTAATTCAGATTATAAGTTTTATGTAAATACAACAATAGTTACGTTGCTTATGACTTATAACCCGGCTCACTACTGTAAATCCCCTGAACCTCCAAGTAAACCCTTAAACGCCCTATGAAGCTCAGGCATTATGCTAGGCCTCGTCGGGCACCCGAATGTGGGCAAGTCGTCCATGGTCAACAGCCTCATGGGCGGAAAGGCCCGAAGCGAGATTTGTTCAGGGTTGGTGCTTTGGGCCAAACCCTACAGCTGATCACGCTCATGCCCAAGGCCATGATAGTGAGCATCCTCATCACCACTGGCATCACCAACCATCGTCACAAACTCCGCAGGTGTCAGACACACCATGTGCCGGAGCCACGCTGGAGTGCAACACGACACTCTTCACAGGTACATGTCTGACACTTCTCAAGCCCACTTCAGGTGTATTCTGAGCCCAAGCTAGGCTTCAACTCTGTTCCGTAGAAGCCTAAAAGAGCAGGTGGTCAGCGTCAAAGCTCCTCGGTTGCCCTTAAAGAGTGCCTGTCCGCTGGGTTTGGGGCTCTACTTGGAGGATTATGGGACTTAGTACTTAGTAACTATAGTTATAAGTTCTTTAATTGGGGTTATAAGTAGTTAGAAGTATAGTTACCCCAATAATAACCCTAGTTACTAAGTCCCATGATCCTTTAAGTAGGCCCTAAACCCTAAACCCTGTAGATCCCTTCAAGGAACCCTATAGATCCCTTTAAGGAGCCCTTTAAAGTTACCAAGTCCCATGATCCTTTAAGTAGGGTTGCAGTATCTTCGGCCCAGACTGCCCCAGAGCTCCTCCATTTAGAAGCCCAGAGATTCCAATATCCCTTAATTAAGGAATATACCTTATTAAATTATAGTAGGATCCCTAATATGGTTTAAGGAGTATTCCTAAATTAAGGGATATTGGAGTCTCTGGGAGTAGCACCCCAAGCAGATCGATGATCCCTATGCGAAGTACGCCTTAAAACATGTTAGTGACCCCTCTACAAGTTATCGACATATTCTTCATTTAAGAGGCTTTGTCAGTGTTTCTGCAGGGGCTTAGGGGTTTTATGGATTACTTGGAGGGTCGGGGGACTTAGTAAGTAGGTAGTAAGTAGACTTATAAGTACCCTAAAAGGGACCCTAATTGGGGTTATGGTACTTATAAGTCCTTAAAATAACCAGTTACTAAGTCCCCCGACCCTCCAAGTAGGGGTTCGGGGCGTAGGAATTTAGAGTTTAGGCTCCAGGGCTTAGGGGTTTTCAAAGGGAAAAGGAGGGACCCCTAATGAGGACCCCTACCCTATAATGGGCTATATAATGGGTATATAATAGCTATATTAGGGGTATATACCTAGGGGTCCTTATTAAGGGTCCCTCCTTTTCCCCTTGGAGGGTTTAGGCTGGAACTGTCGATGAGGAGGATTTGACGTTTTGGGTTCCTGCGGGTACAGAGCTCTCGGGGGCTTTGGCCTCATTTTATTGGGTTGGAGTCTGCTAGGCCTAGACTCTAAACAGCCGATGTTGGTCTTTTGAGGTTTAGACTGCTGGCGTTTGTCCCAGAAGCCCTCGATCGAAATCACCGAGCAAGATTTGAAGCATCTTTTGAAGATTTAGAGTGTCATCCGACATGCTTCTCCCGACCAGCCCACCTAACGCCCACCAAACCCCAACTCCACAACCCCCTACTCTCATGGAGAAGAGCATGAACGGTGTAATTAATGGTTTCTTCTTATCCTTTGATTAAACTACAACATCTCCTTAAACTCTAAACCCTAGACCCTAAACCCTTACGCCTTAAAACCGTTCCAAAATTATCAAGCGCTTCTGCTCGCCTGAGGGCTCCCCTCTACAAACGTGCACGTTCGTCAAACCGGCCTGCACCCCATATTTTAGGGGCCCGCATTCACTAGAAGAGGGCTTTGGAGATCATCTCTAGTATAAGCGTATAGGGATATACAGGACCTATAAAGCTGATAGCTTTATCTTTTTTCACTAGATATGTCAACCCCTACATCACGCACACACGCGTTCCCAGGCAACGCCTGGCCATACCAAAACCCTGCAGACGCTCAAACTGGACGACAAGACCTGCCTATGCTGCTTGCCCGATCCTTTTGGCGTACCCAGACCCTCCAAAACCCCTTAATTGAGGAAGATGCCTTAAATCATATTCGGGATCCTACTATGATTCAGGTTATAGTCCTTAACTACGGGATTTTGGAAGGTCTGGGTATGCATGTGCTTGTACTGAGGTCTCCGCTGGGCTGAAGAAAGAAATCTGCATCAACAAACTCTGTGCAAGATTCTGCTTGCCAGCCCTGTGTGAAGGGATCTGCGGTGGCCTTCTCACTTCGAGGTTGCAAGCCGAAACAAGGAAAGAGCAGTGCTGTGCACCGGGGCTGTGCAAGGTGAGTCTTACGTTCACACACATGTTTCCGTGGGGTTAAGGGTTCAGGGTTTCTCAGAATCGTGTCGAAATTACCCTATACCCTGCTGCCATCTCAAAAGATGCTGCTTTGAGGTGACAGCCCCGGTGTGGTTTTCCCACGCTTGGAGGTCCCCAGAGAAGCCCAGATCGCCCCTTGGGTGAGAGAACTTAGTGGTTTGGGATTTAGGGTTTTGGGGTTTACGTTGGCGCGCTCAGGGTTTCGGGTTTGGGTTTCGGCGCTTCGTGCTCAGCGTCAGATTTCAGGGCTTCGGGTCATCGGGTTTAGGGGTTAAGGGTGCAGGTTCTCGGGTTAAGGCTTTTAGAGTTTGGGCTAAATAGGGTTACTGCCAGTATCCTTGGCAGTAGATGAACTGTGCGCAGATTCGGAGACGAAACATATGCTTACAACTTGCCAAATCTGCGCGAGACCTGCCAGAACTGTACGTAAAGTGAAGTGCCCGCAGTGCCTGAAGTACACACGAACCATGCCGCACAACTTCTTCGTAAACTCTTTCCAATCCTCAACCCTCAGTCCTTGCCCCTGAGCTAAACCAAAGGCCTTATTAGAGGGTTGAGGGTTTGATCAAAGCAACAAAACCCTAAGCCCCTCCCGCCCAGATCCTTGCAACCGTGGCCTTATACTAAACCCCCTAGCTCTGGCTCGAGGCTTTCCAGTAGTGGAGCTGACGTCAACCAAACATCGAGGTTTTTGTTCATCGCAATGGTTGGAGATCCTCTCCTTTCATCCTTGGGCATTGGGGATACCTTTGATGTTGTGGTACAGGTCACGGCACAGGACGCGCATGCTGCATCCTTTCAGACGCTTTGGCATCAGGAGCATTGTCGCTGTTCCGGACTCTTCGAAGTGGGTTCCATTGTTACGCTTTACCAGGTTCGCTACCAGGGATTGCAGGGTGGTACCCATTTTCTGCAGCTATTGTCGAACACCACAGTGCTGAAGAAACCTGCTTTGGACGCCCGGTCATACATTGACATTGTTGAAGTTTGTGCCGGGCTTGGAGGCATTGCTACAGGTTGCAAAGCTTTGGGAGGAGAATGTCTGCTTGCCGTTGACAAGAATCATTTGGCATGTGACACACTTCGCAAACAGCCGGTACAGGTTCTCGAAGGCGATTTGGCAGACCATCAGGTCAGGCGTGACATACATCTGCTCCGGCCGAACACCCGCTCCATGTTGGCAGCAGGTGTGCCATGCCAGGGTTTCTCACGGCAGGGTTTAGGGCTTGGGCTCAGGGACCCCCGTAGTATCACGCTGTGCCACGTTCTTCAGCTGGCCTGGCACTCACATGCAAGCGGCATAGTGCTAGAATGCGTCAGCGAGATTCAGCAATACCCGGCAGCCATGCAGTGTCTGCAAGAGTTTGCCGCCAGGGCAGGTTTTCGGATGCACCAGGTCAACTTGGATCTAGCGCAACAGTGGGCGTCGAAACGCCTCAGATGGTGGGCTGTCCTGCTGCCCTCGACCTTTCCGGTCTTGCATCTGCCGCCTTGGCCCACCCGTGCCGAGCCCTTGACTGTTGGTCATGTCATACCAGAGTAGCCGGTCTGGCCGCTCGCTGAGGAGACGGAGCTCCTATGGAGCGACACCGAGCATGCCGCTTACAGCAATCCCCTGTATGGTACTGAGGCACGTACGCTTGAGGCCACGGCACAAGCGCCCACGGCTCTACACAGCTGGGGCAATGCCTTGACAGAGTGCCCCTGCGGTTGCAGACCCGGTCCGTTCAGTGAGGACAGCCTGCAGCTTCGCGGCCTTCGCGGGATCGGTGTTCCATCTCAGGTCTGTGCGCAACAGCAACGGTTCCTCCACCCCCAGGAGGTTGCGCTGTTGAATGGATTGCCCCTTGAACATCCTTTGCCGACCTCTCCTCGAGAGGCTCTTTGCTTGATCGGCCAGCTCAGCTCTCCCATGCAAGCTTTATGGGTCTTAGCACATGTTAGGGCCTGGGCTGCCAATCTTTTTGCTGTTGGCCCAGTTGAACCCCTTGCGTTGTTGCAACGGTTCCAGGCTGACCTGCTCGCTTCTCCCCAAAACCGCTGGCTCACACAGTCTTTGCTGCAAGGTGGCCTCATTGCACTTGCAGGTGCCACGTGCTCCACTGAGCTGGTTGTCCCGGGCCCGCTTCGCATTTCGGATCTGTTGCAGGCCGCTCGAGCCTCTTTGACGCCAGGCTTCTTTCTGCGTGTCCTTGATAATGACCGGCCTTTGCAGCCTCATGCCTACCTGCACCCGCAGCCAGCTGGTCCGACATATGCAGTTCAGGTCTTTGCTAAACGTGCACGCCGCACTGAGGATGCTGGGGCGCTGCCCATTGTTTCTTTCGAGCACATCGGGCTTCAGCCTCCCACCCCTGCCACACCGTGCCCTGCCACACCCTGTGGAAGCTCCCCTGCTTCAGTGGCGGCACCGTCTTTGCCCGAGCCTCTCGGCTCATTGCCGTCTGTGCGTCTCGATCCCATTGAGACTTTGGCCTCTCCGCTTTCTGCTGCAAGGGCCAGTGTCGCCGAGGCTGTGCCAGAGCCAGTCGACTCCGGGACACACTTAGGGAATGGGTGCACCGATGTCACAATTTGGTGTGGTCTTTCGGCTATTGTTGCTACGTATGCCCAGCAGCCCGTCGCTCTCCTGCCGCCACGGGTTGCGCATGCTCTGCTACACGTTTTGCAGACAGATGGCTTCCTGCCTCCGGCTCTTGCTTCTGTTGCTCCTCTCAGGGAAGGCCAGCTCCTGTTGGTGCCGTTTCTGGCCAAGGCCCACTGGACTTTGTTGGCCATACAGACTAAGGATGGCATTGCCAAAGCCATCCTTCTGGACGGCATTCCCGGCCGCAACTCGGCTAGCGCTACGCTCCTGGCTGAGGCGCTCTGTTTTCTTAGCGGCCGCAGCTTGCATGGCATGCAGGAAATCACCATTTGGCACCAGCTCTCTTGTGGCATCGCACTTTTGGCGCACGCCTTGATTCTGGTTGCTGAGGGTGCCTGCTCTGACCCTTGGTCCACTGCACAGGCGTACATAGCCGCTCTACCTCCACTGCCTTCGGATTTGATCGGTTGGGGTGGCCTGTCTCGTGAACAGGAACAAGAGCTCTCACCGCCATCACCAAAATCGGCCTCGGGCCTTTGGCGTCTGCTCTTCAGCAAAAGAACATCTGGCAGGCTCTCAAGGCGGCAGGCTCCCGCCCGGGCTCTTTGTTTAAGTGGGTGCAGCCGGAGGAGCTTCAAAATCACATTGAGCATAAGGCCCAGGCTCGCTTCGGTACAGCCGTCTCGCATCCGCGTGCCAAGAAGCAGAAGCCCAGTAAGTCAGCCATCCCCGCTCCACTTCATATTGACCCACTGCAGCTCCAGCTTTCGCCTAAGGCAGGCACCCCACTGGGGCAATTGGCTTTTGAAGACGTCGCGGCACAGGCCACCGGCATATGCTTCTGCACAGTGGCCCAGGCTCTGCCCTACATTGCTCAGGCCCGTCTCAGCGTCGATGCCCTTGCGTTGGTTACAACTGCTGAACTGACCTTGGATTCGAGCCGTGCCGATGTGGTCCCCATCCGGTACCCGGCGGTCTTCTATCCAACCCAAGAGGCCATCCTTGTGCAAGGTTCCCTCATCCAACTGGGAGATGAGGAGGTCCAGCTAGCAGCCACGGACATAGCCGAGGTTGAGCACATCTCCACGGTAGTTTGCAGGATCAATGTATATCGTGATGAGTGCAAGCTTCCTTGGGACAAGTTCGTTGAGGCTCCATTGCGCCTCTTGCTTCAGCATGTGCCCGAGTTCAAAGTGTGCCAATCTACCACATGTGATGCATCCTGTCTGGCCTTCCATGCTGCAGTGGATGAAACTGTGGAGCAGCTGTTCCTGGACGTCTGGGCCAGGCAATGGAACAAGTTAGCAGGGGGCAAAACCAAGCCCACTGAAGCTGAGCTCTTCCAGGTCTTTGTACGGGTGCCCGCCTCGGCTCTGCCGCACATGTTTCGAACATCGCTTGAGGGCCTTTATGTTGAGCCTCGCGCTGCTGACGGTACCGGCCCACACGGCGCTTGGGCTGTTGTCTGGTTGCCCGGCCTTACCCAAGCACAGGCCAAGCATGCCCTCAAGACCACTGAAAAGGCTTTGGCACTTGCTCGCCTGGGGCACAAGTACGGCATTCGCACTCGGGATTCCGATGAGCAGTTGGTGTTTGAACGGCTTCGGCCACAGCATCAATTCCTCAAGGTCAAGGTGGTGGCGAGATACAGGTTGCACCCTCTCCCACACGGGTTCCAGCGACATAACTTAGTTCAGCTTTTGCAACAGTGGAAATGGTCATGCAAGCCAATGCAGCCAGACCGCGGTGATGCGGAAGGGTGTGCTTGGCTGGTGGGTGCTGCCACTGAACCTCCAGCCCCGGCACTTCCACTTGGCACGTCCTAGCGACCAAAGTCAAAGACATTGGCGTGCCTCGCCATGCACCTGCTCAGGTTTGCGCTTCTTCTCGCACGCGCAAGGCGCTGCTGATCGACGACGACCATGACGACTCGGACCCTTGGTCCGACGGTCGCGATCCGTGGACCGCTGCTCGCCAGGTGCCGCAACCTGCCAGCTCCTCCAAGGAGGCCATCAGCAAGTTTGCCCAACTTGAGGCTGGTCTAAAACAAGACCTGCAAACCCTTGTGCAGCAAAAGCTTGATGAGCGAGAGGCCAATGCCCCACCCCCGGGCTTATCCGATCAGGATCGCCGTCTCCACACCTTGGAAACTACCCTCAGCGAGGTCCAGCATCAAAGCAGCAAATTTGAAAGTTGGTTTCAAAGTTTCGGAACAAAGGTCTCAGATCAAGCTAGCCAGCTGGATGCCCTCCGCACTACTGTTCAGGAACAGCAAGCTAAGCTCGGGCGTGTCCGTACTGAGGTGCAACATTCAGTGCAGAACGCCGCCACCACACTGCAGGCCAACATGACTGACCAGATGGCCAAGCAACTTGCTGCGCAAATGGTGCAAATCCAGGGCCTTTTTGCAGACAAGAAGCCACGACATTGACTACGCCTGCCCGGCCGGCGCTTCGGGATTTGTGCCGGGCCGTGGTTGAAGCGTTGTTCCCTCCTTCGGCTTATCCTTGTCGTTCTGCATTTGTGTGTCGGCACTCTCACAGC